TAGAAGTGACTTCTCCCTTCAAGAGGGAGCTGGTAAGTTCCCACAGGTTATGCAGCGAGTTAGTCAAGAAGACCAAAGTCTGAATATTACGCACTTCCAGTCTTTGTGCGTGTGTGTATGCAGGTCTGTCCAGATATTATTTTATATCTGAACTATAAATCAGGCTGCTTTGTTACAGATATGTCTTATTTTTTTTCTGTGCAAACTTGAAAAACATGAATAATTTAAAAGTTTATAATATTCATAAACAGCCTGCCTTCCGTCAAGTTAACAGGAAATCAAGCAGGGTGTAACCCACATTCCACAAACCAGGGTTGTATAATGATGATGTTCTTATGAGTTATGATGCTGTGTAGACTCTTATATTTATACCAGAATTTCAGAGAAACATCTCCATCTTCAGGGCTGAAATGGGGAGGTTTAACAGTGTGTGGAAAAAATGATGCATAATAACGATGAGAAGGGGTAGAAGACATTGAAACAAAACAAAAAATGTAAAGGGAAGAATTCTCTAGAACTGATTTTTATTTAATTGCCAAATGGGCAAGTACATTTATGTGCTGTAAGGGGACCATAGGTTATAGGACGTAACTCATGTATGAAGATGCTACCCTGTGATACCGCGGTCGACAGTGATCAACACTTACTGCACAGCAGTTTCTTTACTGTCATAAGTGTAGTTTACTCTTTGCAATAAAACTTAGCTATAAATCCTAACCTTTGGTCACTCCTTCATTTTTAAAATGTGCCATTTTCAAGTTGCGGAAAATTATACTGCACAGTGAATGCTATTGTTTCAGTTTCTAAAGCCTGTGTATATTTGAGTCTTGTCTTAGTATGGTAATGACTTTATTTTATTTACAGGGGGAAGAGGAATGCAAACCAATGTACAACTTCTTCAGGCCATTCCACTCAAGCTTCACCACCAGTGTTCCCAAAGGCACGCGGGTTGGTTCCAAAGTAGCCGCGCAGATGACTCGTAACTTTGCTTCTCGAGTTGAGGCTTTACTGTCAAGAGATCGGCTAAAGTCAGGAATGGGTTTGGGATTACAAATAAAGACAGAAAGAATCAGCTCCCCTGAGTTCAAAGGAACTGAATTCTCCCGGTCACTTTCAGATGATGGCAGCACCCGGCTTCTGAGAAGAAATGTAATTGCACAAAAGCCCCCAGTAAGTGTCGTTGAGGGAGGTTGCTCGCATGGTTGTTCTGCCCCCCAGCCCATTCTATCTTGTCCTCACTGTGGTCATACCATTCCTCCCATCAGTTGTGATTCTAGTCAAAGCCAAGAGTTTGGCAGTTTAGTGTACGCTGATCTGAAATTTCTCGCTGCTGTTTGTTGTATTATTTATTTATTTAGAATAATATACATTATGCAAACAGTTGTAATAGCTGTGATCTCACTTTTCTGCACCTAGATTGCAATATAAAGTTTAAAAATATAGCTGTTAATGTCTGTAGTGCTGAATTGAAATTACTTATTAAACGTTCTAATGCCTATATTCATTGAGAGGCTGTCAAATTTGTATTTAAAATAGGACTTCTCTTTGTTTTAATTATACAAATTAAAATTTCAATTGAAGGTTTACATGGAATATTTGCATTCTATTTGATATTTCATTTGAAGCCTCATACGTGAATTCACTTTTATTTACTTAACCTATTTATTTGTAAGTATTACAAGAATGTGCAATATTCATGGAGGCAGATTCAATCTCTTCAGTCAGATTTAAATATATTCATGGATTATACTGTAATAGGCTGTGGCTGACCATGTAAATGTGCTACATTAATTTTTACAGTTCAGCAGAATTTTGCCTTATAGTATTAATTTAACTGCGTCCTGTATTTTGACATATGATATTAATATCCTGGCATGTATTTATGTGTTAATGGAGGTATTTTAATGATTCTTACCAGTACATTAATGTGTTATTTATATTTATCGTTAAATTATTAAATGTATTATAGGCTGAGAAGTCGTCGCACATTCATTGAAACATAACACAGTTATGATATTTGTCATAGCTGTTCAGTGTTACTTCTAAGTGAAGCCTTCAGTTTTCAGTTTGTGATTAGAAATTTTGCAAAGTTGAAGTGAATTGCCTGTTAATGTGCATATTTACCCACACTTCATTTGTGTTGCTATGTTGTTATTTTAGCCTGCAACAGATTGTGCATTCGAGGTTTTATAGAATTGCATTAGTATTCTTTTTGAGGCAGTTTATCAACCTTACAAAATTTTAGTAATAATTAATAGGCAGTTCATAACATTGATATATGGGTGTGTTATTTGGCAACTTTGTGAATCATCCCGTAAATGGTGCATTCTGAGTGCCAAAAGAAACCATTTAGCCTGATGGGTTTAAATTTGAAATCCTTATTGTAATTGACTTTTGGTACAGCAACTTGAATTTATGTTTGGAATCAAAAAATTACAGCTTCCAAACTTATTTCCATTATATAATAAGACAAGGACTTACATATAGAAGACTTATATACCATTTGCTTTATAAAACTGTTTACTGATGTTAAAGTTGGTGTAAGGCAAAACTTCAATATGCTTTAAGACCACATTGACTTATATTTTATATTTTTGCAGTGTGGCTTTTCAAGTAATGCTAATGTGCAAATGTGACAAATTTTGTATTTAAATAAACATAACAGTTACAAATAGCTTTATTCATGTTTAATTCTGTCAAAGCCGAGCCTGTAAATTTGTATGATACGGATGTTCCCCGTTTGTTTATGCCTTAATTAAGTTCATATACTGGATTATATTTTAATATATGTAATAGTTTGCTTTACTCATAAGTTAGTAATTTAACTTCAACAGATCACTCAGAAACAGGAGAATGAATTCAGATTGTGTGGTTATTTATTTTTTCATATGACCGTTTAGTGTTACAGTATCATTGATGTGGCGAAGATAACCATATGCGTGATCTGAGCCATGCCTCATGGCTCGGAGTGGTTTATCTCCCCCATTTCTAAGGTCTTTGCAGTCTGCAGTCTTCGCTCCCACGGAGAAGCTGTGCAGAAGTTAGTCTGCGTGTGCCTTCAGTACAGGGTGAACATTCAGGTAGAGAGAGCGAGACTAAATTTCTGGCTGCTGTGGGGGCGGCCTGGAATTCTGTTTGGTCGTGGGATGGGAAATGATTGCTAGTCGTAACCCCGGCCGGGGCCTGAGAAATGTGAGTTTTGGTTTGTATTTTTTTCATTGTTTCTTGCCATCTTCTGTGTGTATTCTCTTTTTTTTTATTTATTTCTATACTCAATACAGTTTTGTAATTTTTGAACGTGCCTCTTTATTTTCTGTTTGTTTTACACCTCTGCGAACTCTGGGACAACAGCGTCTCTTTGGTTTTAGTATTCTCTGGAGGCTTGTAGCTGGCATTAAATTAGCCCCCCCCCCTTTCTTTCTTAATTTGGAGAGCGCCAGTGGCACAGATTTCATTATCTCAATTGAAAAATATAAAGCTGCATTTATACCCATTACTGCATTTGAAGGACATTTTAGAGAGGGGTTGTTAACCCTATTAAAACAGTGTTTCAGCTATCCATTAAAGGATATTCGTATTCTGGCAAGTGATTTGTCTCCATATTCTTGTGGGATAAGCTTTAAGGGTTTTGTCACAAATATCCTGCCAGGAACGCTATGTTTGGCAATGTTGCAACAGAAATATTTCTCCCAGTATGGTTAGACATTTTCAGTCATGGAGTCAACCGAGAAACTACATCTAGAAAAAATTTAAACACTTCTAGGATGTGATAGTGATGCTTATTCAAGTGACAAGGATTGAAGGAGAGGAAGTGTAGGTGAACCAGAACCACAATCACCACCAGCCAGCACCACACTGGGGCTTGCCTTCTCACACTTTGAACAGCTTTGCTGTCCACAGATTTACAGTATGTCCTCGATTGAAAATCAGTGCAGAATCACACATAAACAGCACCTCAAATCCACAGATTTTCTGTTTTCAGACAAACTGGTGGTGGTGGAGACATGCCAGTATTATCACCATTATTTTAATTCGCTCATGGAAGAACCTTCTTCACTCTTTCATAAGAGTGAATCTGAATTTGCTTTTAATAGTACAGATGGAAGAGTGAATATGGAATTGACAGACTGTTGGGCGATGAATGAACAACTCTACATCCCCTGCTGTAAATACATGATGCAAGACATGTTCTTACATGTCCCCTCTTCCCTTACATTTCACATAACAGAAAGGAAACTGAAAAGAATGATGAAAATTATAACATTACAAAAACTCCAAGAATAATTTGAAATGCTGAATAACACATATACACAATTTTACAACTCTTTTAAACCTCTGGCAGAAATTTATTGACAACTGCCATCTATTTTCTGATGAGAGCAATTGAACAAGCCTTGCTGATGGCTAAATTATGGGCAGCACACTGAACATACACTGCAAGTGATGGATATTTCAGGTTGTCATGGTGGCAAGTATGAAGATGGTAGCCTTCTGGGATGTAGGGGTGTATAGTCTGGTAGAAGATGATCATTTCAGGTAAGTGAGACAGCAAGCATTTCTGAAACGTCACATTACACACTGCAATACCCCAGGTCATTATCTTCATGCAAGTGAGTGCTTTGGCCTGATGTACATTTGTATATCATCACCCTTGCCACTCAGCCAAAGCACCATTGTGCCTTTGTCTTTGTAGGAATCCCATTTCTAAGCCACTACTCTCAAGACATCTTAAAAGACCATCTGCCAAGCCTTGGCTTGTAACATTTCTTAAACAAGGAAATCTCCCCAGAAATTAAACATACCAAAATAGTGGCCTATCATTTTTTTTCATCAGCTACTATGTCTATTAAAAAACAAGGTGATGCATTTAAATCTTGGGTGACAAATACAGGTTATTTCTGGGTCCATTTTTTGTATGTAGCTTAATGGAACTTTTAATTCTATCACACAGCAAGGAACAATAATTAGTCATTGTCTCAAGATTCCTTCAGAACATTAACAGGTCCAGCATCTATGTAACATCTTTTGGTTATACCCAGAGGATTATATTCTAAATATTAGGTTTAATGATGTTTGTTGTGCCTCTCTTTTTGGGTAAATTTGGTTGTAACTTGATTAAAGTAGTCTGGTTACTAAAAATTTAAGCTGCTTCGTCTGACTCGTTTTGCTATTTCTGGGTGTACTCTTGATTTTAGAGTTGCACCGTTTTTTTTAAACCAACTAAATATATTGCGAAGATGGTCACACTGAAGCCATTCACGCATGCGTTACTATCAACATGTATTACAATTTAGAGATGTTACTTTCTCCGTGCATTACACGCTGTGGCTTGCTATCACTGTGTTCATCAATTAATCAACGCAGGCAAACCTGTAATATCAAAAGCGCAGTTTATCTCATTGCTAGACCATGGCCTGTAGTTTGTAGCACCGTGAAGGAAAGATAATAAATAATCTGTTCCGTGTAGTGTTGGTAACAACATTTATACCGCAGTGAAGGCTTAAAATCTCAGTATTTGTTTTTGATTTTTCGAAATTCAATCTAGAGCGCCTTTTTTTTCTTCTTATAAAACTATTAGTTCCTTTCATTGAAGGGTTAGGTATAGTTTGAAAGTGTGCTATATTAGGATTGCGACACAAAGTCGAAAGTAAAACTTTCGGTGAGTAATTACAGATACATTATTTTTGTTGGGACATACAGGGCCCAATCATTCTGAAGCTATGCATATGAATATACGACACCAGTGATGCTTTGTTTATACTCGTATTTTAGAATTTCTTGCTATTTATGAATCTCACTTGCATTTATAGTTTTGGAAATTGTGTTGGCAATTTAGATAGCAGGAAACATCACCATAGCAACCACAGGGAACACCAATATAACAGCGTAAAAATCCCATTTAGAAGCACTCAGTCACCGGAGGGTATGAATTAACAAATGATAGTCATAATGATAATCCAGTTCCTAAAATCATGCAATTTTTTAAACTAATCATGTAGTTAATAGTCAGTTTAAGAAAAAGTATAAGCACAGACGATTTTGATTTTTGGTCAATCCATTTTTGTTCTGTTAAACTATGTTCACTGTTTTAAATTTGCAACAAGATGAATCCAGGCCACATCATCATGTACCTCACTTACATCAGTTTTAATATTATCTTTTTATCTATATCTGTTTTACCCAAGTGGGTCTTCCCTTCATTATTTGCAATAAGAACTTTGGATGCATTTTGTATCTTTCCCATATGTGCCTATCTCATCCTCCTTAAACTTACTGTCAAAATAATATGTAGTGAAAAGTACAAATTATGAAGTACCTCATGATGCAGAATTCTGTGGTGTCATGTTCCTTCCTGTCCCTGAGTTCTTGATATTCTTTCAGCATCTTGTTTCCAAACACACTCAGTGTATTTTATCTTCTATGTATGATAAACCAGGTTTCACACCCATGAAAAACAAAAGGCAGACTCTTCAGTCTTTACATTTTTAGATATGTGACAACACAGAGATACTGAATTGCATGGTAGCAAACATTTGTGAAATTCAGTCTACTCTTAGTTTTGTTTTGAGTGCAATTTTAACTTGTTATTTTTCCCAGGTATATAACCATTAAGATGGAGGAGGAACCTGAACCAAATTATATAAGAGACCTTATAGAAGGAAAAACAAAACTTCGAAAACTGCGACCCGCACCACCCATCGATCGGTTCAGGAATGATCCATTTAAAAATAATCCCCTGATGACCTATTGCCTTGAAGAATTAAAACGAAGAGAAACCATTGAAAGCCAGTAAGTGTCAGCTTGATGTTTGGTTACAGATTTCCAGAAAATATGAAATGATTATATAGTAATTATTCATGTCATATAAAATAACAATATGGTGACTGCATGAAAAAAATGTTGACTTTACCAGGATTCAATCCTGTGACATTTCACATATGAGTGCAGTATGCTACCACAGAGCTGGAGCACCTTATGATGTGTCGGTATTGATTCACATTACTTACAGAAGACATAAAGACTACATGACTTGTATAGTTGGAAACTAAGGTTGTCCAGGTAAGATAGATGATGTAACCTTTTATTAGTAATTAAAAATTTGCAAAGATTGCACATGTATGTTCTAGTACAAATTGTATTTGTCCAGTTTCATTCTGTCACCCTTAAACTTTGTGAGATATAAGTAACATGTAACTGTAGTGTAGTCCTTTGCTTTACAATAAATTATGAAATCCATTACTGGTGTTTCTTAGTATTAAAAACTAGGAACCCGTAAGTAGAGCACACAAAAATATAATTCCTTAATATGAATTAGGAATTATTGTATCTGTTGGCAAAAACTTACATCAGGATACTGGCTCATAGCATGACTCAGATTCTTGTGAGGTCCACACAGAAGGAGTTAATTTAATATCTGCAGGAAACTAAACAAACATGTTATCGTTATTTACGTATGTATGCTTTTATGCATTCCTTGGTTTCTTAGGTTATATTTGGCTGCAAAGAAGAAAATAAAAACAGCAAGGGATGCTCTTCCAGTAGTTCCTCAACATGCACTAACACAATCTGAGGTTCATCAGCGCTTGAAACATGAAGCGTCTAAGAACCGTCCACCACCATTGACGGCTGAGTGGAAGGAGTGTATTTTGAACGTATGACATTTTTTATACTCTTTTTACATTTAATATGTATTTGTGACATAAATGATCTGATACTACAATAAACAGACAGGATAATGCAAATAACATGCCCCATTAACCCTTACTTACTGGCAACTAAGATTTTGTACACAAGTTTAAGCCTTTATTCTGGACAACAGTCTAAATATCCAGTTTTGAAGACTTTCAATCAACGTATACAAGTGGTTTTAGTGCGTGGAAACTGACTCCAAGTTTCATGTAAAATGCTGTATTATTTGTCTGGCTTAAAGCCTAGGATTGATGAGATAAAACTCATGTTTTGGATCCTATGAATTCTGGTTGAGTACATCTGAAAGTCAGTAGCTTTACTGCTAGTTTTATGGCAAAACTTTCTCATAATATCAGTACAGGAACAGAAATACCTGGAGAGTTTTGAAATGTGGTGTTGGAGAAGAATAGAGAAGATCAGGTGGACGGATCGAGTGACCAACGAAGAAGTATTGAGGAGAGTCAAAGAGCAAAGAATCATTCTGCAGGCGATTACACGAAGGAAAGCTAACTGGCTGGGACATATTATGAGAAGAAATGGATTACTGAGTGATATCACCGAAGGCCAGGTTGAAGGAAAGCGAGGACTAGGAAGAAGACCAACGAAGAAGTATTGAGGAGAGTCAACGAGCAAAGAAGCATTCTGCAGGCGATTACACGAAGGAAAGCTAACTGGCTGGGACATATTATGAGAAGGAATGGGTTACTGAGTGATATCACCGAAGGCCAGGTTGAAGGAAAGAGAGGACTGGGAAGAAGACTGATACAGCTAACCGACGAACTTATACAAGGAAAGAAGATGACGTTCCAGGAATTAAAGCGAGAAGCCGAGAATAGGGACAACTGGAGAGCTCTTTTTGGGCAGAGCAATGGACCTGTCGTAAGACAGAACACTTAATAATAATAATAATATCAGTACAAATGTGATTGAAGAGTTTGCTTGTAATTTTGACCCTGAAGAACATTATACCTGAGATGTCTCTGGCATAGAATGTGCACTTGATATTGGAATATAGTGACAATATTATCACAACAATTTAAGCATGGCATGATAGAGAAAGAGGAAATGTCAATTCAGTACAGTAGTTCTGATCCTGCACAGAATTACATTGTACACCTCATCATGTCTGATCATGTCATGTTCTTCATCATTTGACTGTTATTCAGCTATGTTTTACAGGTAGACTTCTGAAGGATATTTTATTGATTTTGTGGTAGCAGGTTAGCTAACACTCCTGGTTTGAATTATGGAGTTCTCAATTTAAATTCTGGACCAAAAAGACAGCTATCTTTACCGATAGGTTTTGTTGTGTTTCTTAGTCATCCCAGTGCCTTCAAGTGCTTCCTGCCATGTCCTTTCCACCACATCAACCTTTGGGTTACATAAAAGATGGGCATTTCAGGTGACTACTAGCTTTTGAAGAAGGATTCTGCGTCATGTAGTTTGTTCACAGAATATTTGCTGTTTTAGGCAGTACCTATTCAACTTAGGAATAAATTTCCCACAATAACTGCAGCATTGCTGGCAGAAGTAGAGGAATTATATGAACGAGACCTGAAACATCTTTGGATTAAGAGGACTTTAAAGCATCTTCCAGCAGAAGAATTGTCTGTGGTTACAATGCATCCATACAGGTAATGCACAAGAAAGAATGAATATCTCAGATTGATTTCATACAGCATGCTGTTTTTTAATGAACCTGTAGTAAACTTGTGTTATGAGAATTGAAGCCGTCTTCTACAAACATAAACCTGCCACCTGCCATGATCCTGAGCCAACTCCATCCATTTACCATCTTCACAGTCCACCTCCCTAAGATCAATCTTAGTACCTCTTCTTACTTTTATTTATGCCTCTATACAACTCTATGATGTTTTTATTTTTGCTATTAGTTTCCAACTCCCTTGTCTGATCTGTTAGACACTCCCTCTTCTTATGCCTCACAGTCCTGCGCCTTACGCTGACTTATCTTAATCTGCTTATTCGCGTACGGACCTGCAGCCATTGCAATCTAACCTGCTTCCTCTGTCCTGCCAAGATAGAGCATTCTTCATCAAACCATACTCTAGGGACTTTGTTTGTTAAAATGAAACTTCCTGTGTACTGAACAACAAATAGTAAATCTCCTCAATGTAGTTAAAATGTTTTGATGACATGGGTGAACTGTCTCTTTTGCATGACACGGAGTCATGCAGAATCAACTTCTTACGTGTCTAACACCATTATCGTCCCTTTTTAAGTGAAATGTAAATACCTACAAATACTGCCAAAGATTTGAATGACTCTTTTTTAAAGGGTGAATTAAAAATGTAGCCAGAACACGAAGCTTACATGAGTTGAGAAATGTATACAAAACTTTAGTTGCCAAACCTGAAGGGAAATGTCCATGTGGGAGATGTCGTCATAGGTGGAAAGATTATATTAAAATGGATCTTAGAGAAATATCATTTAAAAATGTGAGTTGTATTTATCAGGCTCAGAACAGGGTACATGGTGTGTTTTTTGTTTTGACAAGGCAGTGAACCTTCAGATTCCGTAAACTTAGACACTCTCTCAGCTACATGAGTGACCATCAGATTTTCAAGAAAGACTGCTTCAAGGAGTTATGGAATTATCTCTGTATGTCTTCATGTGTGCCTTCATCGCACGATGTTCGTCCCAGGAATGCTTTTAATCTGTGTTGTAAATTCCTTTATACATACAGCAATAGATATATGACTTGTTCTTGACATTGAATTGTTTATCTTAGGGAGGGAAGGACAGAGAATTACAAAAAGTTTCTGCGGACGGTGCAGTACATGGACAAGAGACTGTTGTTAACACATAACCTAATGAGAAGACTTGTAGACAGGGCAGCAACATGTGTACCGGAACTGATCGTTGATTTCACCAAATACAGGTAAATTATTGTCAGAGAGTCTTGTATATTTTGCCATAAAATTGCTTATTAATTCAACACAGTTGCATGACAGTGGCTGTCTTCAGGAATGTTGCACCATCTGGTCTGGTAGTTATTGACCAACTTTTCAGAGGACCATACTACGTCCATCATCAGGGTGATGACAGCCATCTTCATACTCGTTACCGTGAGAACCTTAAATCTGATCAGCCACGATTGTAAGTCGTCTGACATGTGTTTGGGATGTACAAAGTTTGATTATGAGTAGAAGTACTCACTAGTTTACTGTGGATTGTTTTTGTTTTCCTCGGTCCGTACAGACAAATGTTGCAGAATACAGTGAGATTTTTACCAAGCACCTCAGATGAGCACTAAAAGACTATCATAAATTGCTCACTGAAAAAGAATTGGACGAAATTGGCGTTAGGCTTAAACATTCTCCCAGGAATTTATTGTTGGTATCCTGGGCTGTAATGCCATGGGATTTGTACGTAGATGCCAGTATTTCAGGGGAACGAATTTCCACAAGTTCTTCAAATCTCATACTCGTAGGAAATTAGTCAGACCCCTTGTACGAGATAGCAGGCTTTCGGAATCATCAGTTGAAATGACACTAAGCTCGGGAAACTGGAACCTTTTAAGGCAATTGCATTGCGCAAAGTTTAACCGTGCTGCTGTTACCAGAATGCTCGCCTGGTCTGATTTTTTGTATTGTTTCTGGGAACTGTAAAGAGATCAAACCCTAACAAAGTTTAACACCCAAAGGAATAATCTGAGTGGGCCTTTTTTCCCCCCCAGGAAGTACATCAGCATGTGAATGTAAACTTTTTGCTGAAGTCCCAGGATTGCATGAGGAACAATAGATCATTTACAGCATACTAGCAATTAGTTTTATGTTTAATATGTTCAGCTTGTAGGTTTTTGGTTCTGCTAGCAGTCCAGAGCTCTGCAATCAGCTTGATGGGAGGAACATCTGATTCTTCTTTCTGTGAGGTCTGTGATTAGGTGGATGCTTGAAAGTAATGTTGCTGTGTCTTGAAAAAGGCCAAGACAGCCCTTCTCTGATGCTTCCAAAACACACTTAACTGTATTTTCGTCTTACTTGCCATCATTCAAGATTTAAAGTTGAAAACTGTTGTAATTAATCTGCAAAACAACACACTTGGGTCAAATTTATGAATTCTAAGAGCTAATCCCTCACTTGTGTTGTTGTTGGTGTTGGTTATGTGATGTTAAAGCATTGAACTGTGTTGTCAGTCTAGTACTTTGTGTAAGAGTGTTGCCATTAGTGCAGAAACTTAGATCAACTGTCCAGCTTTAAATTTCTTGGCTGTGTACTCCCTCCCTCTCTCCACCTTGGCAACTGCTAGAAGCAGAAGGGCCTCAGTGTTTTTAACCCTTTCTTAATAACTGTGGATCCCCTTCCTAACTGAACTGTAGTAGATGTAACTTATTCACTTATTAAAAATGACTTTTGTGTCTTGATTATTCATGTGATCAAAATTGTAGGTCTGGGCTCCAAGTTTCATATCGTTCAGTTTGCTTGCCTGCTTAGGGTTGTAAATGTGAGCTGAAGCATTTTTGTTCTCACTTGTTATCAGTCAGTACAGTCACTGGCTACGGGCTGTACGACGGGTTTGATCCCCGACGGGCAGAGTATTTTTCCTTTAGCCTCTGCATCCAGACTGGTTCTGTGTCCCACCCAGTCTCCTATCCAATAGGTACTGGGGTCCTTTCCTGGGGGTAAAGCCGGCCGGGGCATGCTGCTGACTACTCACCCCCATCTAGTGCCGAGGTTAAGAATGAGTAGGAGCTATGCTGCCTCTCCCTCAAAGCGCATACATGGCGTTTAGTGGGACAGCTTTACTTTAATTTTTACTTGTTATGAAGATACAAATTGCAAGCTTATCTTCATGTGGTGCTGTTTTACTTTGTTTATTATGTGGTGAAACTGTTTGTTTTAAAATAAATGCTACGAAGTGTCCTTTTCCTTATATGTGCCTGCTTTTTATGATTATATTTCAGGGATGTTGGACCAATAGAGTTAGTGAAATGGAAAGAATTAATGGCTGCAGATTTGAAGAAAGCGGACGATGTAATGGGTAGAGACATGTTTACCAGAATAGTGAACTTGTTTCGACAGAAGAATTGCATGAAAGGTGTGCGATGTAATTTCCAACCACAGTTTCTGAAATGCGCCACTTTCATTGTTTCAAATGAGGTAATTTATTGTTAAATTTCATGTATGTTGGTATTTTAGATGTGTGCTAAATTATATTATTCAGATTTAAAACAAATCACATACAGCCACAGACACTGATATGTCTCTAAACTAACGTGTATTGGCGACTTGCATACTTATTTCTCTGTTGGTTGTTTGTGTGTGGCAAAATGTTTCTCTTTCAAACTGAGGGTTGACATTGTTGTTGAATTCTTGCACCCAGAATGTATGGGGCATGGTACTCATCATGGTATGTAGTACTCCTCAATCAAGCAAAGCAAATCTATCTGAAATCTAGGTAGGTAAATTCTTTTCCTGAATTCAGATCTGTACAGGTAGTTTGTTATGTCCAGCATGAATAAGAAGAATTTTTGTACCACTTTATGGACTTTTCATTTTTGCATATTGTTGTGTAACCTGGTCAACAAAATAAATAGGGGACAAGGAAGGAGACTCCACAAAGAATGCGAGTAAAAGGGGAATGTTTTACTCAGAGCAATTGGGCGTCTCCTGGTAACGACAGAAGTCGGCTAATCCTTCCAACACTGGAACGGGACGTAGAAATGAAATGAACAAAATAAATACTCTCTTCCTCCCCCTCACCCCATGTACTGGTGGAAGTGAAGAATTGAGGGAAATTGATTACATTCTGTTGCATTTATACTTTTGTAAAATTTTAAACTGAGATGCGTCGTGCTTGTTCATGCCGGCCAAGAGCAACATGTGAGCATGTGGTCTCATAATTTTATTCAGTCTGTGGAGTGTTTTTCATATGGTATATTCTCCAACCTTGATTGAATGGTTATACCACCATCATATGTCGTGGCATCTAAATTGTAAGGCAGGACTTGTCATGATGATGATGATGATGGTATGAGGGAGTTTGTGTTACCATGCTACTGCCAGATGTTGACAGTGTTTGAAGTTTAACATATGACAGATTCAATTTCCTTCTCATTTGCATTTCAGATAGCAGCTTGCATGCTGAGAACCATTAAGAATGTAGTTGACGTTACTGCTGACATGTATAAAATCCCATATCTGAAAATTGATTTGGTGTATGAAGAAGAGACCGGGATACAGATTGTTCCAACAGTGCCAGACATAATCGCCGCCTATCACAAAATTATTGATGATGTAAGTACAATTATAGTGGAGCAGGGGAAGACTGAAACATTTCTGATGTTTTTCTAGGGCTTATACGTATACTCATACAGATATAGAGCATTTCAGGCACTTTGAATTGTCTATTATGAACACAGTAATTTTTATAAAATTCCAATCAAGCAAAGCAAATCTATCTGAAATCTAGGTAGGTAAATTCTTTTCCTGAATTCAGATCTGTACAGGTAGTTTGTTATGTCCAGCATGAATAAGAAGAATTTTTGTACCACTTTATGGACTTTTCATTTTTGCATATTGTTGTGTAACCTGGTCAACAAAATAAATAGGGGACAAGGAAGGAGACTCCACAAAGAATGCGAGTAAAAGGGGAATGTTTTACTCAGAGCAATTGGGCGTCTCCTGGTAACGACAGAAGTCGGCTAATCCTTCCAACACTGGAACGGGACGTAGAAATGAAATGAACAAAATAAATACTCTCTTCCTCCCCCTCACCCCATGTACTGGTGGAAGTGAAGAATTGAGGGAAATTGATTACATTCTGTTGCATTTATACTTTTGTAAAATTTTAAACTGAGATGCGTCGTGCTTGTTCATGCCGGCCAAGAGCAACATGTGAGCATGTGGTCTCATAATTTTATTCAGTCTGTGGAGTGTTTTTCATATGGTATATTCTCCAACCTTGATTGAATGGTTATACCACCATCATATGTCGTGGCATCTAAATTGTAAGGCAGGACTTGTCATGATGATGATGATGATGGTATGAGGGAGTTTGTGTTACCATGCTACTGCCAGATGTTGACAGTGTTTGAAGTTTAACATATGACAGATTCAATTTCCTTCTCATTTGCATTTCAGATAGCAGCTTGCATGCTGAGAACCATTAAGAATGTAGTTGACGTTACTGCTGACATGTATAAAATCCCATATCTGAAAATTGATTTGGTGTATGAAGAAGAGACCGGGATACAGATTGTTCCAACAGTGCCAGACATAATCGCCGCCTATCACAAAATTATTGATGATGTAAGTACAATTATAGTGGAGCAGGGGAAGACTGAAACATTTCTGATGTTTTTCTAGGGCTTATACGTATACTCATACAGATATAGAGCATTTCAGGCACTTTGAATTGTCTATTATGAACACAGTAATTTTTATAAAATTCCATTATATTTAGAATAAAATAAAATAATTTGTCATGCAATTGCACTCTCCTATCCACTACACAGGGCCAACATACTAATTTATATTTTGTGTAAGCAACTATCTTCCTTCGCTAAACAAAAATGCTTCAGAAATATGTGTTTTTGTATGTCTGCAGTCGCATTTTAACATGGAACCTTTCAATCAGAATGTCAGTGAACAGCAAATCATTGAAAAACAAAAGAAGGTCTTGCTACCGTCACACTTCTAACCTCCCCAGTGCAACAAAAATAGTGAAGTGATAATGTGAATGATAATACTGACGATTACTTTTTGGTCATTGAAAAAAATTACTCGACTCTTTACGCTTTACAAACAATGATTACATTCTCTTTCAAATATCACGGTCTGCATATTTCAGTTTTCATTTCAAATTGCATTTTATATGAAGTTCATATGGAAATTTTGAAACATAGTTGAATTATATGCAGTTGCACAGTTTAAAATAAGTATTTGCTTGAATACAAGATATGCACTAGAAAGAAAGAAATGTGCGTAGACTAGAAATTGCTTAAGGTCTCCACAATTATTACAGTTCTTGTCTGGAAAACTGTGAAACACCTTAGTCAGGCCATATTTGAGTCAGACCCCAAATTAACAAAGGTTATGTGAGAAATAAAAGGTGTGTGTTTGTGTCGCAAAATGTAAAAGAGAAGGCATTTATAGATACTGTTCATTTTGGAAAACATTTGCTTACAGCACAGCTCTGCCTTACCTTAACTGACTTATCTAATCTAATAAAACAATCCAACTTGATGAAATTTGTTGTAACCTAATCAGACCTAATTTTAACATGACCACCTAACAGACATCCTCACCCAAGATAGCTAGGCTAATAACATTCTAAAACTCGCTCATTTTCTTGGCATTGCTAATGGAACCCGGTCTGTTCCATATTCAGTAATCCATCATGATCCGTCATATGCCAAAATACTGTGCAGTGATCCATACTATGCTGACCTTATCAACTGTAAAAGTAAAAAACTAAAGCAGTCCCGCTATCTGCCATGTAGGTCCCTTGGGGGGTGGAGGTCTGTATAGCTCCTACTCATCGTTGACCTTGGCACTAGATGGGGGTGAGTGGTCAACATCAAACCCTGGCTGCATATTACCCCCGGGGAAGGGCCCCGATACCCATTGGACAGGAGGCTGAATGAGCCCCAGAGCCAGTCTAGACGCAGAGGCTAGAGGAAAAATACTGTGCCCCCATTGGGGATCGAACCCACTATATGACTGAGCTATCCAGGCTCATCTTATCAACTGTAACCAGTGCAAATGAAACTGAATCTCATCTAATGGATAAAGAATCACTTTTGAAGTTTTGTGTACTCCTTAAGTGAGTGGAGTAATTGATATATACACATTTATTTGGCTGCAATCAGACTAATAAAGTGCCTTAAGTATGTCATAACACTGGCCTTTGTTTATGACAGATCACAGGTGTTGCTCAGCAGTTGGTTCCATTAGAATCTTGGACTGATGTGGACATACCACCAGGGTACATTACCGTTAAAGTCCTTCCGGAACATACTGATAGGGCACGACGGATCATACAGGAAAATGTTGAGAAGCTGTACGCACCAGTTGAGGTTTACAGACAATGCCTTGGTGAGTTTTGTCAGTAACGTACTTATGGACATATAAGGATTTGATTTTTAGTTGTAAGACTTGAGGTTCTCACAGCGGTGAGTATGAAGATATCCGTCTTCTGGGTTATTGCGCTGTGTAGTCTGGTCGATGTTAACCAACGTTTCAGAGGTCATACTGCCTCCGTCATCAGGGCGATTCTTAGTATAAAGATTTCTGTCTTCTGGGTTGTTGCGCTGTGTAATCTGGTCGATGTTTACTAACGTTTCAGAGGTCATACTGCCTCCGTCATCAGGGCGATGAGTATGAAGAATTTTTAGTTGTCATTGGCTGCACTTCTCGTAACACATTTGCATGTATATGTTGTGACATCATTAGTAATTACACCTTGAATTCTTAACTGAAGATGGATTTACTTTGCACTTTTACTATTGATCCTTCCGTGGGTTAATATCTGATGCTGGTACATCATTCTCAGCTGCGTTTCCTACTTCCTTCACCCTTCTTTATCATGCTGTCACTTATCACGTGCTACTTCAACACTGGTCCACTCAGTTTTGTAATGCTGCAGTTGGTTCTGGAACCATCAACCAGTTTCTCTGACTTCATAGAAACTATGTTTTCTGGTGACACAATTTTCAAGCTAAATGGAAGAAATGAGAACATGTGAGCTCGTGTGTTGCCGGCTTCTCGTAGGCTGGTGGAAGAGGGGAATGCCAGTGTGACACCAGGCTGCAGCATCGTAGCAGGGGAGGGGGACTTGATACTGTATTTATTCAGACTGTGTTTGTATGTATCTCACATAATTTAAATTTGTTTTGTTGTTCTTCCTGTCTGTGAGGATACGTTCAGTCTTGTCCACACTAAGTGTGATGTAACTTGGGTTTTTAGTGTGTTATTTGGTCTTGTCCACCCTTGTAACTTGGGTTTTTAGTGTGTTATTTACTGTGGGACAGATTTGTTACTCTCTGTATGACAACAGGAGTAAATCAGAAGCATAAAACCACTTTATTCTGGCATTGATAGGATTATATCTGGTCTGTATTATTCCACACACATTAGTTAGTGACTGGCTTTACTGCTATTTGGTTTCCCTGAAGTATCTTTTACCATTTCGATGCCTGAGATTTATGAATACACTAACTAAAGTTTTCTTAATTTAATAATTTAAATACTTTTTCTTTCAGTGGAGAGATATAAGCCACTCTATGGAACAGAAGTATCCCACGAAATAGAGACTGTCTTAAAATTAAGACACAAAGCATTTAGAGATGGGTGCCAGAGAGTAAAATTCTTCTGTGAATATTGTGTTGAAATTACAGGACTTGTCAACAATGAGTATTTTAATATTGTAAAGTAAGTATTTACGTTTGTACTTTGCAAGACTTAATACGTAATGTTTTAACGGACCACGGTAAATAAATGTGAAATCAGTGGTTAAGTAGTGACACACGTGAGGTCATGAGTGTTCGTTGTAGATGGCTGTCCCTTATAAGGGTTGCTCTCTTGGACCTCTCTCTCTTTCCTACTCTCCGCCTCTCTCTCGCGTGCTGCGACACAGCCCCACACTTCTATTGATTTCCATGTCCTTGCCTGATTCTGACACCAGTCCCAACTGGTTTGGGTTAGGCTATTTCTAAATTGTCTGGTTCTTATAACTCTAGTGTTTTTCACTTGCGTGGCTTACTCATTGCCCCGATGATGGAGGAAGCAAGGGCCTCTGAAACGTCGGTAAACTTCTACCAGACTATACGGAGCAACAACCCAGCAGACAGCCATCTTCAGACTCACCACCATGAAAACCTCAAATCCTACATGAGTTTTAGTTGTTGAAGTAACCATGCAGGCAGTGTAAGAACATTGAACTGTGTTAAAGTGATTAGTAGCGGGCAGTATTTGTAGTCTGTGTAGCGGTTGTGACTCCAGTATAGAGAGGAAAGACCACAATGAAAATTAATTAAGGACAAACATCCCCAGTTTTAGGATTTCTCAACACAGCAACAAGGATAATTGATGGTAACTGTATTTGTGATTATATCTACACTATTGCAAATAAATTCATCTTCAGTGAACCCACTATTTAAACACTGACCCACATGAAGAAAATATTTATAGAAATTTAAATAAATTAAGACTGGTTTGTTACTGGACTAACTAACTAACTAGATGGCTTAGGTAACCTGAAAGTTCGTCACCGAATTAACCAAAGCCCTATCCTGGGCCAGCAAAATCCAATCACCTTCAAGTCCTATCTACCACTAGATTCTGGCTGTATATATTTTAATCTGTCTAACAACATCAGTCCCATGAATTTAAGAGCTGGTTAAATAAATTTTTCCACCCATTCAAAAATTTAATTGGATCTGCAAGCAAATTGCCATTATCATCCTTTACCAAATTAGTAGTTGTTTTTGGCCAACATGCTCTTCTGCCATCAGCTCATGTGAATTTACTGGTCAGTGAAGAATATCTGCAAGGAAGTGTTTTCTTATTTCCTAAGAACTTCAGCACGCAATGGTAAAAATTTTATGGAGATATGAGGAATGCGTGCAGAGCAGTGGAGCGTGTTTCTGACATCTGCGTAATCTGGATAGTTTTTGTTTTTAATGTGCTGCGGTTACGGGTTTGTTCATGCCACTGGCAATCCAAATCTCAGTGGACCAAATGTCAAGGAATGAGTATCTGACCTTCTGAATAAGAAGTTTTGAAATTCATGGCTCTGTTTGATAAAATTCACTTTTGTATGAAACTTCCCACATTTTTGTATATATATATATATATATATATGTTGAGTATTTTGGGCATTTAATCTTACAGTTATGTATTACTTGTTTAATTGTACTTATCATACAACTGAATGATCTACTTCTGTTTTATTTTAGGTTGTCTCAGTGCAAGTTGAAAACGTCATTGAAGAAAGTTGCCACGAGATATATAGAATGGATAACCACAGAATTGGTTCAGAAACATGAAGATCTGTGCAAAAGGTCAGTTGTAAGTACTTTATATGTTGGTGTGTGAATGCTAGTGAGATTTTCTGTCTAGTGAGAAGGATCGTGATAAAATATATTTATTTTAAATTCATGCTGGTTGCTAGGGAATATTTTTTAGTGGTAGTGCTACTGTTATTTGGCCCTCATTCTTCATCTTTTATGGCTTAGATGCAGTTCACTTGTTCCTGCATCACACTGGCACACCGCTAAACCATTAACTGCGAAACTAAAGTCCAGCCGGCAGCCCCATAATATGAGGGGTTAAATCACCTATTTCTGTATGATGCAAATTAAACAGACTTGTATGGCTAAAACTGTTCCTAGGAGTGTTTCAGCTCCTTCCTGAAATGCATTCAAGGAAACGTAGGTGTTTATTCTGAATTTATTGAGGGCCGTTGTGTTTTTATTGCATGAACCTTTTCATATTACATGATCCTGAATTTAATTTTTACTACATTTTAGCTCATATTTTATACAAGTACCTTAAGCTATTTGAACTGATTAAAGAATCTTGTTTAATTTTACATCAAGGATATTACATTAAGTCAAGAAGAATGAGATGGGCGGGGCATGTGGCATGCTTGGATGGGGTGAGAGGTATGCCCCGAGTATTGGTCAGGAAGCATGAAATATCTAGATTTCCTCTTTGTTCCCAGTATTTGTAAAGAATTTGAAGACGTTGTTGTCAACAATCTGTGTGATATAGGAATTGAAGGAGATTGGATTTTGTTGACCAAGGAGAGGGACCGGTGGAGGGCTGTGGTTAATTTGGTGATGAACCTTTGGGTTCCCTAAGCCAGCTAGTTAGTTAATTATTACATCAAGATGTGTAAACATGTACAAGTGTCTCCTGAAATGATAAACATAGCATGAATTAAAGACGGCTGTCTTCTCGATTGCTGCGCCGTGTACTCTGGTAGAAGTTTACTAGTATTTTGGAGGCCCTTGCTGCCTGCATACCAGAATACACAGCGCAGCAACCCAGAAGACATCCGTCTTCATACCTGAAATCTCACATAGCATGAAATATCTAGATTTCCTCTTTGTTCCCAGTATTTGTAAAGAATTTGAAGACATTGTTGTCAAAGCATTATCAGTGCCCAGAAGTACAGAGGAATTGGTAGAAATGGGTCGACACATGTTGTGTGCCAACACCACAGACATGGAGAAGAAAAAGGCGGACATAGCAATAATGATACATGAGATGGTGCGGTTGATGGATGTGACGTCTCTCACCCAAGGACATATTGGTCTCATTGCAGAAACTATTTCATGGGTACAAAATATTAAGCCAGTGTTCAGGAAGAACTCTTTGGTAAGTTCCTTTCCACGTATGTGTGACAGTTCCATTGGCATTACTGAATTTCTGTACTTTGCCTAACATCTTGTTTAACATAGTAACACTGATTGCAATACACCATTGCAAGAACTGTTTAGAATTGAGTGTCGCGTTTGTCATTGTCTGTTTTAATACTCCACTTAGAGCAGAATTTAACAGAATAATAAGTCATGTGGCTGGCATATTCCGTATACTTCCCGCATGCTTCATCGCCTTGGAAGGAGGAGTAGTAGAATGCTGTTGCTGATTTCAGTCTGTTTTTAAAAGGTGTGTAGCTGACCAGCTCATTACCCCCTGAAATATACCAGATTACCCCTCAAGGGTAATTACTCCCATGTTGAGAACCGCTGTTCTAAAGTACCTTTGGAAACAAGTGGATGTGTGAAATATGTCGTATGACCTCTGCTTTCTGTTATTTGTCGTCGTTTCAGCTGTACGAACAATACAAATCTGAATTTGAGGAGAATCTGGCTAAGAAAACTGAGAGTCTGATGAAGGAAATAGAAGATGTTTTTCCACGTCTGGCACTTCTTAACATGATGGATCACACAGAAAATATCAGAGAATATCTTAATGTAAGTTACAGTGAACTTATTTATTAAATTGTGGTTAAAATTTATGATAAATAAGTGGAAGGATCCAGGAATGAAAGTCACTAACTATGATGAGTGTGGTTATGTTAACACCACTCACTTTCTGCCTTCATGTCTGTCTGTCTGTGCCATGCCTTACATTGCTGGAGGTGAGCGCTTTTAGTGTTAGATTGTGTTATATTGCATTATAAAAATTCAGCAAAGATTTGAGGAGCGTAAAGATGGTATAGCAGACTAGAAACATAATATGTCAACAATGCAGCCTTCTTCTGCATTGAAAATCATCTTACATCATTACTTATTTTACAATGAAAAGTATATCTCGTAAGAAAAGTTTGTTTTTGTGCTGATTCGCTAATATTCTGATGGTTATTTTATGCAGCATATCAGATTGGTTATTTATGATCTTCAGAAACTTGATGAAACAATTGAATGGATAAACAAGGAAGAAGGTCTTTTCCAGTTCCCAGTTTCAACCTACCCAGAACTGGATGAGTTGAAGGTATGCATTGTGTTTCTTTTTCTGTAAGCAGGGGTTTAAAAATTACTCTACTTGCGTAGTTATCTGACATGTCAATGTTGTGTGCGTCTCGTATGGTATGTCACAATAGGCTACAGTACTCTACTTGCGTAGTTACCTGACATGTCAATGTTGTGTGTGTCTCGTATGGTATGTCACAATAGGCTAATTAAATCGTGAATGAAACACTACATTGGTATTTGCACACTTCAACTTACGTGAATCACAAGTGTGTAGAAGTATCTCGTATCCAACTGATTGTGTGATGGACGCAGAAGTGTTTATGTCAGTTTCCTATAACAGAAAGAAGACTTTGTTTTATTTATGAGATGGCAATGTATGATTATGTTTGATTTCTAATAACTCAGGACAAATTTGTTGTAAAAATACAAGACTTTGGCTGACATCATCAGAAAATCAAGCTCTGTTCATTGGTATCACTCCCAACTCATTATCATACTTATACTTTGTGAGCACAAGTGATACATAAGTAAGGTCTGGTGCATGTGTAGCACCTGTAACCTGTACTGTTCATTGGTGGAGGGCAGGGTAGCGCAGTGATTTGCCTGCGACTCTGCTGCAAGTCTTCCTCACACGCCTTTAAATTTTCTATCCCATATAGAACATACTCTAAAATTTATGTACGTTTTAATGCGACTCTTGAAGATGGTTGAAATCAAAACTCACAGTGTCTTCGCACATAAATGAAGCCTCCTCAGATGCCAGTACAGCCGCTCACTGCAAAGGGGTGTTGTTGTGTTGACTGCTGTACTCATCGTTATTTAAGTCATTTGTTCAGTTGTATAAAAGTGATGGCATTATAAAATTAAAACTACAATTCTAAGCAAGAGTATTGTTTCTCAGCTTTATTAGGCAAGGAGAAATTAAAAGTTAAACCTTATCTTTAAGTTTGAAACAACTGGTAAGGCAAGGCCAGATTCATAAAAGTTTGTGTTTCTGTGTTTTTTTAAGGTATTCAGTAATTCTGGAATAATCAAAATAGTTCCTTAAATGTATTTAATTCCAGAGTATTATCTGTCCATTTGGAGAGCTGATTTTCCTTGTCTATAAGTGGCAAAGAACACAGAAATTATGGCTGGATGGGAATTTTTATGATCTTGTAGCCAGAGATGTTGAAGAAAAAACAGATGAGTTTTACAAGTATGTGAATGCTTTAATAACTTATCTTTCCTGTTATTATATCTGACACTTTTGTATTCTTGGTTTTTAATTTTGTGAATTTTTTTGGTTTGTTTATAAGGAAAATCTGATAAGATGAGAAATATCAAAACTGGACATTACTTTATCCTTTCCTCACTGTCCAGTTTCTAATGTCTGTACATGAAATGTTTTGGTGTTAGGTTAGGTTTTACTTGTGATATTCTCAGGGCTCACACTCAAACTAACTTAACCTAAAGTTTGTTATATTTGTTTGTTGTATATTCTAAATTAGGGAAGCTGAGAATGCTAAGCCCTAAGTCTTCTTCTTCTTTCTTTTTTGAACCCTTTTCACTCCTATGTGGAACACAGCAGCCTCCTTTTAGAGGTTTCTTGATCTATTAAACATTTGGTAGGACACCTTGGATGAATGCTCAGCCCATTGCAAGGCCTCTACCTGTACACTGTACAGCACAAGACAGAAAGAGGCGGACAAACATCCATGGCTTGAGTGGGTTTCGAACCCATGGTCCCAGTGTCCAAGCACACGAGGTCCACGCCTCAGACTGCGTGGCCACTGTGACTGGGAAGCCTAAAATTATGATTTAAAAATTATTATTTTTTGTAAGGAATTTTTAATGTCTTGGAAGTTCACCTTAATGATGTATTGTTGAGAATTATCAGTGAATTTGTTGTGGTTGAGTTGGATTTTCATGAGTGCTGTAACACTGTAAAATTAATTATAATCCTAACCTTTTATAATTAAAATGGTTACGAAGGTTTCTTGAACATAGGACAGTAGATGTTCATGTAAACACAGAACTCTGTAAATTTAAATTTTCATCACTTTATTGCCCGTTTATTTAAGTGCACCAACTGTAATGCTTTAAAGAATGAATAACACTTTTACATTTCATTTATACTGACTGTCACATTTTGCATATTCCTCACAGTCAATAGAACATTTTAGGTCCTTACTAATATTACTAGCTTGTGTGAAGATTTGTAGTAGCAGCGTGTGGTTGAGGAATGGATAGTTAACTTGCCTATATTTTTGGTATATTTTTATATGGTAATACTGCTTTTTTTGTGTATTTGGAACTGTCACATATAATATAGACTGATATTTTGAACACTGCAATTTTAAGTTTGTCTGTGAATGATGTATTATGAAATAAATGGGCATCGGCAAGAGCATGCTGTGACTGTCAACAAACGTGTATTACTTACAGAGATGTAATAAAGGCTCAGGAAAAGCATCGCTCAAGACTGAGACAGCAAGTAGCAGAGAACTATCCACATAGGTTCAAAGGTAATGTAGAAGATCCAGACTTCTCTAATTTGCCTGCCCCATTGAAGCTCTGCATAAAGACAATTGAAAGTATTAAGGACTTCAGGGTAAGTATTGTAGTTGCTTTAAAATAATTTTCACGTGTCTTTGAAAATACACAGAATATTCCAAAAAATTGTGGACGTATGTATTAATCTTTATTGCGTGAGAGTAGGGGATTCAGATCTCCATATTCTGGGGCTGTCGGCAAACTGAACTGTGTGTAAACTGTCTCACATAGGCAATAAAGGTTAAGAACGTTTAGCATTTTTAAAATGACAACAGTTTCGGGTTATGTTTGATGCTTTGAGGCTTAGTAGTTGAACATTGGCACTAGTTGGCACTTTGAAAATGGTAACATTTAAACAAGATTATTTCTTATATGCTGTCATGCAGTAGTGAGTAATTGTCACACAGGTCCGTAGCGAGTGCATGGAAGAAACCTGCTTTTATAGAGACCAATGTATGCTGAAAGGTCTTGTCAGGTTTATGCAAATGTGTAATTTATATATGATGTGGAAGGTGTAATCGTAGTCAAGTCAAGTTGAAAGTCTGATTTGTAACTAAATCTTGCTCTCTTCCATAGCAATATTTTCCGGTAGTTGGAATATTCAGCAATCCAGCTTTATGTGAGCGACACTGGAACGAGATGTCAAAGATAGTAGGTTTTGATCTCACTCCAAATGCTGGAACTACTGCAAACAAAATAATTAATATGCATCTTGAGAAATACCTGGACAGGTATGTTTCAGTGTGTCGATGTTGTTTTGTTCTGTTTCATTTATGTAAAACACAGAAATATAATTTGAACTGTATTGCAGTCCACTTTTAAATATCCACAGTAACAAAGGCAACAAAATATTACAGAATGTAAATTTAACTTCAGTATGAATTTTTCCACAAAAATCAGAATTTATATCTTCAAAATTTATAAAAGTTCTGTTTAGGAAAGCTGCAGAATTATGTTTGGCTTCCCTATTGTTCTGCCTGTTTACTCAACTCGTAAAGCTGGTATATAACTGCTGCATTGTCTCTTATCCAATATGAAGTAATCTGAAGTTCAAACATGGCCTGCCATTACTGTCGCTATACTCTGCTGAAATTGGAGATACTGAAGCTCACAGGTAGAAAGAAGGAGGTAGAGGAGACAACATTTCTGAATGCTTGTTAATTCAGTCCACAGCCTCAGCCTATTTTGTAACCCTTTAAAGAATGGAGCCCATCTAAACAGTATTTAAAAATTTAGCTCCTATCTCAAATAAAACAAAGTATGTCTCTATTTAAAAGTTCAGCCAAATAAATAATTGCTGTTTATTTTGATAATTATACAAAACATATGCACACACACTAGCAGCAAAATTCAGAGTTCTTTTAATGTTATGTCGGGTGGAACATATAGGTGCCATTGTACTCTAAAAGGGCTAAGATCCATTTCAGTGTTCTCCATTTACACCAAGGTCTTCCAAAGGGCTTTCTCTCTTCTGATTTGTGACTGATATTTTATGTGCTTATGGAATTTATACAGCTTTCTCCAGCTTCATGATAACTAACTAGATGGCTTATGGAACCCGAAGGTTTACCACCGAATTAACCAAAGCCCTCCACCGGACCCTGTCCTGGGCCAACAAAATCCAGTCTCCTTCAACTCCTATCTCCCATATATCCCGCCTGAGATTATCCTCCCATCTACGTCTAGGTCTCCCCAGAGGTCTCTTCCCCTCAGGCTTCCCAAATAGTGGACCCAATCAACCAGATGGCTTACGGAACCCGAAGGTTCATCACCGAATTAACAAAAGCCCTCCACCGGACCCTGTCCTGGGCCAACAAAATCCAGTCTCCTTCAACTCCTATCTCCCATATATCCCGCCTGAGATTATCCTCCCATCTACGTCTACATGTCCGGCCCATCTCATTCTTCTCGACTTAATCACCCTGACAGTACTGGGGGAGGAGAACAAATTTTTAAGTTCGTCATTATGCAGTTTTCTCCACGCCCCATCGTCTTCCCTCTTAGGCCCAAATATCCTCCTCAACACCCGATTTTCAAACACCTGCAATCTGTGTTCCTCCCTCTGAGTGAGAGACCATGTTTCGCACCCGTACAAAACAACAGGCAAGATTATTGTTTTGTATATTTTAATTTTCAGGTTCTTAGAAATCAGACGGGAAGACAAAATATTTTGAACTGAGAAGTAGCAAGCATTTCCGGAATTTAGTCTCCTCCTAACTTCGTCATGAGTGTCATTTTGATTTGTTATTGTTGTTCCCAAATATTTAAACTTTGTCACACAGCTTCATGATTATTACTCGTTTTTTGTCAAGACACTCTCTTCACCACCCTGCTCTCAGATACCCTCAATGTTTGTATTTCCCTTGGTGGAAAATAGGCTGAGTAAGTTTTGTGTATTTTAATATTTGTGTTTTAGGTTAGGTTAGGGCAAAATTTGCTGAATTGAATAGCAGGAAGCTCTCCCTGAATTTTATTTGCAAACTTCTAAATTAACTGTGTAATTTGTAATGGTTGATAATTAATAGCTGGCCATATTTTAAATGAATATGAAACTGGACTCTTCAGTATATAGATGATTTTATTTTGTTCATTTCAGGTTTGAGACAGTGAGCATTAGTGCAAGCAAAGAAAAGCAGCTACAGGATAATTTATCGCAAATTTTAACGGAATGGTCCGATGTTGCATTCACAGTCAACAAATGGAAGTAAGTAGAACCAATGTTATGAAAGCCTAAGTGAGCCAAAATTCGGTGTGCAAATATAATAAGTTTTGTATTTGAAGAGGATTTGAGGTTACCACAGCGGTGAGTCCGAAGATAGCTGTCGTCTGGGTTGTCGTGCCATGTAGTCTGGTTGATGTTTAGCAATGTTTTAAAGTTTCTTGCTGCCTGCATCATCAGGATGATCTGATGGAGGCAACAAGGACCTCTGAAACATTGGTAAACATCTACCAGTCTGCACAGTGCTACAAGTCAGAAGACAGCATTCGAACGAGAAATTCTATTTTAAATGTAAATTTAGTTTGAATGATTATAATTATAACAGGGATTTTCATAGTGATATTTAGATGATTTTATGTTGTGAAAAGTCCTAGAATTCAGAATATTTTAAGACTATTTAGAAGTTCTTTGATAATATCATTTAATCCCTGAGGAATATTTTTGTTCCACTACATATGGCCAGTTCTGATTAATTTTTAAATTGTTTAACTTTTGTGTTATTTTATGCTTACATTTGTATTGTAGGTATGTGGTTTCATTGATACTGAAATTAATGGCTTAAATAGTTCTTGTCTTAACTGTACCATTTTTGTGGAGTGTGATAAACATTCAGGTCTGTTTGAAAATATCAAATTCTGTAACTTGTTTGTAAACAGAACTCTCAAAATTTCATCTGTCAGGTGTCTGACCTTTGGAAGTGAGTGTGCTCTTAACCTGTTTGACAATAGAACATGAAGAGTTAATAGGACAGTTGTTTTTAAATACTTTGGCTTAAAATCCTGAGTGCTTTGTGGCATTAATTGAACTACAATTCAATTTCAGGGATACAGACATCCTAGTCCTGTCTCATTTAAGTGACATACAAGCCATCATGGATGACCATTATGTCAAAACACTTGCAATGAGAGGCTCTGCCTTTGTGAAGCCGTGTGAAGGTAATGGTAGATAATTTCATCTTGAGCTTTAACTCTGTGTACTGTAGACGTGGGCTGCCAACATGTTCAGAACATTAATGAATTTTGTGTATATTTTTAATGAACTGTTTACATTTTCATATAATTTTAATGTGTCTAAATGTAATATAGAAATTGATCATAAATAGACAAATTAAAGCAGTTTATATCTCCTGAATATATCTTATATTTTCCTCAGAAACAGTCGTTGGACTTGTTGAAGTTTGGAACTTGTTTTACGTGGGTAGTTTGTCTACAAATGTATTCACATAGAAACTATGCCAGTTGCATGTTATGAGTGTGGTATATGAACTTAATCCATAGAGTTGTGGTATATGTATTTATTATAATTTATTTTATTCTGAAACGTGAAAAATATCTTCTAAAATTATTAGCTCTGCAGTGTGTCTGTCATATGTGGACAAAGCCTCTGTTTCTCCACATGACCACTAGAGTGATAAAGACCATTTGCTGCTGTGATTGCTCGCTGCATGTGTGAAATCAGGGCTTACTGTTTCCACCAGTTGGTGCCCCTTGGCTTTCACATTGTTATCACATCAAAAATATTTTCCTTTGGTGGTCCGAAGAGATGGGAGTTGTTAAGTACAAGTTTTGGATTGTGTGATGGATGGGCGAGTCATTTTCAGAGAGCTGCTTTAGCAGTTCAAACATAACATGAGCATTGTCATGAAGCAGCACCAGTTTCTCTTTCATCCTTCAGGTGCAGAAACTCTGGACGAGAATGTCCTGTGCGTAACGTGACATTTCCTTCACTGTCACCCTGTACCTTCCCTACTCTCCTTCATATCAACCTGTTGCCAGCCTTCATTATTTTCCCAACAGAGTGCACACTGGTCTTTTTTTGTTTTCTTAGGTCATACCAGGACCAGTGGTCGCACACTTCACGTCGCTTTAATTTATTTTGGACAAAATTTGGGTTTTCTTTCTTGATTAGAAACTGGGGGGGCAGAGAACTGGCAGAGGTCCCCAGTGCTGTATGGTGATTTGTCTGCATTTATCTATATACATGTATACTCTTGTTAAATTCATCGTTTGTGAAAAAACAGTTTTCATATGAAGGGTTCTGGGCCTTTGTCCGTATCGTTCATAACATCTTCCGTGCAGACTGGAAGGTTTTTGAACCTCTTTTTCTTTGGGATTGTTTTGTAATTGCAGTCTTATTGACGCTACTTTTGATGTCAGGTTGAAGTCACAAATTCATGTTTCATTACCACTTATAATACAACTAACTCTGGGCACAGAAGACGTTATTGACTGCACAGTGCATACTTTTCATTGAGGGATTAGACATCATGGTTTCAGAATGGAAGTGATCTTTTCCCATGACAGTGCCCCCCTATAACCTGTTGCAGTGGACCTTCTCAAACAGTTTCGCTGCACATTTCTTACCCAGCTAAGATATTGGACAGGTTATTTGTTGGGGTCACCCTGGAAATTGTGTAGAGAAATACAGAGCTTGTCCATTAATAATGACGAGTGTGACACCCTAAATTATTACTTATTGAACACCCCTCGTTTATTGCATGAGATAATAAGTTTTGTTTCTGTTTATCTCTTTAGCTGAAATACGAGAATGGTATGAAAAGCTGACAAGAATGATGAAAACATTTGAGGAGTGGGGAAGCGTTCAAGCAAAGTGGCTTCATTTGCTTCCTATATTTTCATCTCAAGATATTGTTAGTCAGTTGCCAGAAGAAGGGAAGCTGTTTCAGGTCATTGTCATTATTATTATTATTATTATTAAGTGTTCTGTCTTACGACAGGTCCATTGCTCTGCCCAAAAAGAGCTCTCCAGTTTTCCCTATTCTCGGCTTCTCGTTTTAATTCCTGGAACGTCATCTTCTTTCCTTGTTTAAGGTCGTCGGTTAGCTGTATCAATCTTCTTCCTAGTCCTCTCTTTCCTTCAACCAGGCCTTCGGTGATATCACTCAGTAACCCATTCCTTCTCATAATATGTCCCAGCCAGTTAGCTTTCCTTCGTGTAATCGCCTGCAGAATGTTTCTTTGCTCGTTGACTCTCCTCAATACTTCTTCGTTGGTCACTCGATCCGTCCACCTGATCTTCTCTATTCTTCTCCAACACCACATTTCGAAACTCTCCAGGTATTTCTGTTCCTTCTTCCTGAGTGTCCAAGTCTCTGCTCCATACGTAACACTTCACTAGTTTCGTCTTCATCTCCAAGCCCAACTTGCTAGTGAGAAGTATCCTCTTCTTGACGAAAGCTGCCTTGGCCATGGCTATCCTTGCTTTTACTTCCTTGGTGCATAGGGCGTCCGTCGTGACTATGCTTCCCAAGTACTTGAAATGCTCCACATTCTCCATCTGTTGGTTTCCAATTACAACGTTCAATGGTTCTGCTCTCGGTGCTATCCTCATTACCTTTGATTTTTCAATGTTGATTTCCATTCCATACTCTCTACCTGTTTCCACTAACTTGTCCATCATGTTCTGTAATTCCTCCTCTGCGTGCTTCAATACTACAGATTTTAAAATGTTTTGTCTTCTTTGTGCTGGTTTTCTTTACACATTGATTAAGTTATAGAAATTTATTTTGCAGAAGGTTTCATCTTGCATAGTTGTACGCCATAGGATCTTGAGTTTGTTAGCCGTGCTCAAGGCGGAATCCATTCATCTTACAAATTGCGATGTGATGGCTTTTATTGCAGAATGTGGATCAGAGTTACAGGAGGTTAATGAACTCGTTGCAGAAGGATTCAAGAGTGGTTGAGACAGCAGGTGCACTCAGTACATCTGTGATCCTACAGGAATGTATGGCTGATCTGGAGAAAGTCAGTGAGGGAGTGGCTGCTTACCTAGAAGAGAAGAGACTTGTGTTCCCAAGGTTGGATGATAATAATCCCGGCTATGAACAACTTTAAAAGGGAGAATTTATATTCTACTTCTTAATTTAGTCAGCTTTGGTGTTTCATTTAAATTCAAAAGTAATGATGCATTTGGAGTGAAAGTTAGCTTCTTGATTTTCTAACTGAACAGAAAGTTAATTGAAGCCTGGTTAGAAGCTCGAGAGCCAGAAATCCACAACCGCCAGCAGTGGCTTAAAGTTTTGGTGAATTGTGGATAAAGATTAACTCTTGTGTCATCTTTTTGACTTCTTCGTTCTGTCCTTTGTAAAGATTCATTACAAACCCACCTTCTGTAATCATTGAGCGGATGTTGTATTTCATTGCAACATTCAGAATGTCATCTCCTTTGCTGTGGAGTCTGTGTTCTAGGAACTCAGTGACAAGTGACTTAGTGGCATGAAGTTGTCTCATTATTATCTTAGCCTCAGCTTCATCATGCAGCTCCAGTCACTGTTTCAACGGAGAAACATTAAATAGGAGAAGACTTTCCATAAAGTTTTGACATATGATCCTAAATCACTCTGTGAGTTTTGTTGTCTTTCATGATAAATGTAATCACTTATCACTGTTCATGTTTTTCTGAGTCTCTGTTAGTGTTACAGTAAAGAGTGAAGAATGTATAGGAATACGGTTCGGCCACTCATATGATGTCTGAGAAAGAACTTCGGGATCTCAGTAGTAAATATTTATTTACTTCATTACCATAGAATGTTGCATGTGATGAAAATATTTTCTCAAAGTTCTCAGACAAAACTGGGGATGTGAAATTTGTACAGAGTCTTCCATTTAAAATACAACCCTAACCACTACACACAATTTTCTTCACCCAAAAACAATGAAACCAGTACATCACGTTCGTAACTGGCGTGAGCAGCGGCCTAGCTTGACTTGAGTGTCGTGGGGGTGGTTGGGAGAGTCTACTGCTTGTGGATGAGTCTGCTTCTGACTTCATATTTGTATAATAATACGTGATTGTTTTGGGGTTCTGTTTTAAATTGTACACTCTGTATTAATGTTAATAGTTTAGGGGGGTGGGGGGTGAACAGCTTCGCTGTAGCACCAGTAACCAGAATTTGCTACTGGTTTTGCAAACTGTGCATCTTCTATTTGTCTTTGGCGTTGACCAGTTACTGCTTATCACTAATTAATAATTTATTTCCATAGATTTTTCTTCCTTTCCAATGATGAATTGTTAGAAATTTTGTCTGAAACCAAAGACCCACTGAGAGTACAGCCACACATGAAGAAGTGTTTCGAAGGAATTGCTAAAGTAGGCTTTGATCCTGATCTCAACATCTGTGCCATGTTCAGTGGAGAAGGAGAGATAATAAACTTTTTGCAACTCATCTCTGTGGCTGAAGCTAGAGGAAGTGTTGAGAAGTGGCTTAATCAGGTGAAAACTTCAGTGAAATTTATCACTTACCTAGATGCCACCTGTCTACAATAAGACGCAACACCAGTTTTATAGTGTTTTAAGACATAAATTGTATTTGAAACTAATGCTAAAGACTAAGTGACAATATTATAGGTAGAGGAGCAGATGGTCGTGTCTCTAAGGAGTGAAATAGAGAAGAGTTACGAGGCATACCCTAGATGCAGCCGTGCCAGCTGGGTTTTGCAATGGGCAGGCCAGGTTATGCTGTGTGCTGCAATGATCCACTGGACAGAGGAAGTGGAAAAAATGCTCAGACTAGAACAAGCAGAGAAACTGAGAGAGTATCACAAACGTTTGCAGGTGAGGCTTATTTGGTTATTACTTAAATATGTATTTATAACTATACTGAAACTAAAGATTGATTGAAAGGCAGAAAAGAGTTTCTCTGCTTATGCACTTTCTTCTCATATAGCAGAGCTGGGCAAAGTATAACCCATAACCCAGATGTGAACCTCTATATCTGTGTGTGTGTGTGTATATATTATAATTTTAAATGTTCCCCCCACTATGTGGTATTTTTTAGGATATTGTCCATTTTCCATTATTTCAACACTAATATTGAGTGTGTATACTCAGTATGTAAGTAGATTAGCTACTTTATAATTCAGTAAATAACTAAGTGGCATGAGAATGTTGTATGTGTTGTGTACAATTTATAAATGGTAGAATGAAAACTGTAAAGAAGACGGCTGTCCACTGTGGAAACCTCAAATCCTACGTAGAAAACTGTGTACTTGGAAAAGATTTCAGATTGTAGGTTTACTGGTAAATGTTTATGGATTATAATGGAATTCATATACTAACTAACTAACTAACTAGATGGCTTACCGAACCCAAAGTTTCATCACCGAATTAACCAAAGCCCTCCACCAGCCCCTGTCCCGGAACAGCAAAATCCAGTCGCCTTCAACTCCTATCTCCTATAGATCCCGCTTGATATTATCTTCCCATCTACGTCTAGGTCTCCCCAGTGGTCTCTTCCCCTCAGGCTTCCCAAACAATACCCGGTGCACACCTCTTGTCCCATCCATGCGCGCTACATGCCCCACCCATCTCATTCTTCTCGACTTAATCACCTTGACAATAATGGGGGAGGAGTACAGATTTTTAAGCTCATCTTTATGCAGTTTTCTCCACGCCTCATCGTCTTCTCTCCTAGGCCCAAATATCCTCCTCAACACCCGATTCTCAAACACCTGCAATCTGTCTTCCTCCATCATCGTGAGAGACCATGTTTCGCACCCATACAAAACAACAGGCAAAATTATTTCTTTTGTATTTTAATCTTTAGGTTCTTAGAAATGAGAAGTAGCAAGCATTTCCTTAATTTAATCTCCTCCTAACTTCCTCATGAGTTTCATTTTAATTTGTTATTGTTGTTCCCAGATATTTTAACTTTGTAACCCTTTCAAAGGACTTATTAGCCACCCTAAGATAATTCTGCCCGCCTGTCTTCTGCTGACGAGATACTAACATGTACTTAGTTTTTTCTGAATTTACTTCCAGCCCCACTTGTCCACTAGCCTCTAGTAAAACTTCTGCGTTCCTCTTTATTGTATTCATATAGTCCCCCAACAAATTAACATCATCAGCTTACGCCAATAGCTGATGTGTCCCGTTCAATTGCAAACCCTCGTGCCTATCTTGGACTTTCTGGTGGCATATTCTAACAAAAAAATTATAGAGCAATGGAGACAAAGCATCTCCTCGTTTCAGACCATTCTTGAAGACTCTGATAAATATTTAAGCACACGAATTTTGCTACAGGTTTCATTTAAGCACATTTTTATTAGACTCACCAGCTTCTTTGGTATATTCTAGCGCAAAGTTAAGGAGCAAGGGAGACAAATCTTGGAACATACAAGGTTACTGTTTTATGTTTCGTATAATTTCATAATATCTTAATTTCTAACAAATTATGTAATGAAAGTAATACGATACGATACTCTATTGTTTTCATATGATGGGAACACTGACGATATTTATCTGACGTAGTTGCTAGTATGCCTAGCTGCTACCAGGAGCAATCAAGTTGCATTAGTAGGAAAATGAAATTGCAATTAGGAAGGCCAAGATTGTGCTCTGCTTTTAAGTATCTTGTGCTACAGCTGTGAAGAGAATATTTCAGAGACGGTTTTGTAGAGCACTGCCGACTCATCAGTCCATTTGTCAGTGGTATGATCTTTTTATGGAAGCAGGTTGTTTGTGCAATGGTAAAACCAATGGTTGTCTTTGGCTCAGTGATGATGCAGTGGAAAATATTAGGCAGTGCTTCCTTTGCAGTCCACAAAAATCAACCTCTTGTACCAATGGCGAGTTTCAGATGTCTTTGACCAGAACTTTATGAGTGGTCATATTGTATGAATGATGATAGAAAAGTAATTCATTGACATTTTGTGATTAACTGTGTATTATGTTACAGATTCAGTTGCAGGACCTTGTTGTACTTGTGCGTGGAAAAGTTTCCAAACAATCCCGTATTGTTTTGGGAGCATTGATCATGTCTGATGTCCATGCTAAAGATGTCATAGAGGACTTGGTTAAGAAGAAATTTCATTCTGAGTTAGCCTTCACATGGCTGGCTCAGTTACGGTAAGTCATTATATGCATAAAATAGCTGTTACTATTATGTTTCATTAATGTTTACACTTCAAGATGTGTGTGTGTGTGTTAATTGTAATAGTCTGATTTAAATTAATTTTCTGAAAATTCATTATCAGTTGCCAACTTGAAAATTTTATATCTTAATTGCATCATGCTTGTGTTTCAATACAATACTTTTATTTTCCGTCGTTTATAAAAATAATACAAAACAAACGACATAGAGACACCATAGAGAAATATCATATACAAAGAACACATAAACAAAACCTTGCATTAAACGACAGTAACATTTACACGAACAATCCGATATTTAACATTCTACAGTCCATTGACCCAACCCCCTAAACAACTTTCACCCAATATATATAGCCATACACGATACTCACAACTCAGTTACTGTCTGCCATTCAATAACAACGGACACGCACCTCATACACAACCCGGTATGTTATAATACTTTATATTTTGTGATTGCATTCATTTTGCTTGTAATACGATATATTTGAATAATTCCTTAAAATATTATAAATTAGAGTAATATTATTCCATTTCCTATTTCGGTAGCCTTATCACGATATGAAAATTAAAATTGATTTTGCAGATATAGGCACCCAGGCGCGTCTCCAAAAATAAAAGCGAAGAAGCCTGGAGATGTAGTAAAAACGAGTAAAAACAAAAACAATATAAGCAGAGCAACAGATACACCAGATTTTAATTTTAATTTTGATAGACCTGACGATGATAAGATTGTATATCGAAACATGTCGTCAATTTTAAAATGTAACAATTTTATGTGAAATTTTATATGATTTTAACAATAAGCTTGTGTAAACGACGGAAAATAAAAGTATTGCTTCCAAACAAATTTCACCTATCTATTCCTTGACTGTACCCTACACAACCTTAAAGATTATGGACACCTCTGCCAAACACCAAACACCAATCACATTTTATCACCTAATTTATTAAATATGTCGCCCTCAGTGGACTAGTGGTTAGCGTGCTTGCCACTGGATCCAAGGTTCGCAGGTTCAAACCAGACCGAGGTCGATGGCTTTTAAAGGTGATAAAAATCTGTAACACAACTTCATTCGGAGAGGAAACAAGATGTTTCGTTAGCAAAATTCAGCGGCCATTTCTCACCCAAGTCTCCTGATTCACTGCTAGATGGCTCTGGCAGCCAAATCAGGATTTATTACAAATTGTGCATGGGCTGGTCACTCATTACTCACAAACGCACGCTTCAAAGATTAGGAAACCTCCGAATAGGAGGAAGTGAAACCCACAACTGGCTTGTAGAGCCAAGGAACAACAACAACAATTTATCAAATATAATCAGTGGCGGTCCGTCCATAAGAACTGCAGAGCTGCAGCACCCCCTATAATATTTCAAAAATTAAAAAAAAAAATTTTTGTGTTTATATAATTTGTAACACTTTGTTTCCTCTATATAATTATTTTAATATTGTGGGCAGTGGAGTGAGGGACAGTTCACTGGTACAGTGCGTATCTGGGCTGCAATGTTCGCAGCTCCATCTGCTTGTCACAAGTTGATAGCGCGGTGCGAGGTGGAGTGAGGGGGCAGTTCACTGGTACAGGGCACATCTGAGCTGCAGTCCCCGCAGCCGGCTTATAGAAAAAAGACCCTTGCCCAGTACCACGTTTTCTGTATCACAAACTGTTTCGTGGTTGTTGTTAATGAGTGTTCAATAATTCTATGTGCTGACTATTTGTTCTAATAATGATATTGAGCAAAGGAAGTGTATCATAGTTATGGCAAATTACTTTTTCTAAATTGTGTTTGAGTGAAAAAAGTGATGTAAAAAATCATGGCCGCCCTCTTCCGGACTTACAAATAGGTAAAACATTGTCGATGACGTATGGGTTTTCTCCTGATGTAAATTTACTTTTAATTTATTTATATTTTTACATGTTGAAATACTACTCTGATTTTTTCCCGTTGCGCAGCACCACCACTGCCCAGACTCACTAACAGCCACTGATTATAATGATCTTTGTCTTTACATTCACTTGAGTATTCTTCCAGGTATTATTGGGAACATGGTGTAAAGATTCGCAACATCAGTGCAACAATTAATTACGCATACGAATATTTGGGTAACACTCCTCGACTAGTCGTTACACCACTGACTGACCGCTGCTACCGTACACTAATTGGTGCATATCATCTGCATCTCAGTGGTGCTCCAGAAGGCCCGGCCGGCACAGGCAAGACTGAAACAGTCAAAGATTTGGCCAAAGTCATCGCAGTTCGGTGTGTGGTTTTCAATTGTTCAGATGGTCTGGATTATATTGCAATGGGAAAGGTACACAATTTGAGTTAATGTGCAAATAAATGCAAGAAGTGTGCAGTTTATTCTTGACTCACCAATCACTGCAGTCCTGTAGTCAGTATAACTAACTTTTGGATCCATGGAATATGTATACGTTTCTAAACAAAGCTGGAAATTTTTGATGCAGAGTGAAGTTAAGTCACAAACTGTTTGCCTGACAATGTGAGCATAATGAAGTGAAAGGTTTACAAGAAAAGAGGAGTATTTAAAAAAATACTGATTGATTCAGCAAACCGTACTAGATGTTCTGATACAGAAGTATTGGCAATGCACTTATTTATAGATTCTGTGAGAATAATTTTATATCATGACTTGAGTCATTTTTCTCTGCTTCTCACAAGTGATACTACACACTTTGAATTAAGTTTTGACAAGCTGAGGAATCTTGTGGCCATCAGTGTGGTAAAATTATCTTGCATGTTCTTCACTTTAGGTTTGTCATACTCTATGAGTTATTTCACACTTATGCATTTCTTAAAAGTGTTTTTTAATCATTTGCATCACAATGTGCTCTTGTTCTTTAGTTCTTCAAAGGTTTGGCGTCATCAGGAGCATGGGCCTGTTTTGATGAATTTAACCGGATTGAACTAGACGTGTTGTCAGTAATTGCCCAACAGATTCTGTGCATCATGCAAGCAGTTCAAGCAGGTGTTAAGAAATTCCTGTTTGAAGGTACTCAGCTCAATCTTAATCCTGCTTGCTACATATGTATCACCATGAACCCAGGATATGCTGGGTGCTCAGAGCTACCTGACAACCTGAAAGTAAGTTAACTGTTTTTCAGCTAATTTCAGTATTGTTCCTGTCATCAAATTAACAACAAAATAAAAATTGGAAATGCACATTTTCATCATTTTTTTTTTGTCGCCCTGGGTGGTCTGGTGGTAGCGTGCTTGCCACTGGACCCAAGGTTCGCAGGTTAAAACCTGCCCAAGGTCAATGAATTTTTAAAGGTGATAAAGATCTGTAGCATGACTTCCTTCAGAGGGGAAGTTAAGCCAGTGGTCCCATGTCGCAGTTGTACGGCATTTGAATGAACCTTACGAGCATGATATGAGATGTTTCGTAAACAAAATTCAGCAGCCATGTTTCTCACCCATGTCTCTTCTGATTTGCTACTAGATGGCTTTAGCAGACAAATCTGGACTGAGTAGGAATTGTACGGAGGCAGCAGGTTTGCCACTTGCTACTCTGAGGCACTAAAAGGGGCCAACTTGACAAGTTACCTTGAACAACTGTCTGGAACGGGCTGAGGGACCCAGTCCTTAGAGATGATGATGATGAATTCTGAATTTTTTGTCCTCTTTTCTTCTGTAATATAATCTTCTCTCATTGTTGTTGTCATTGTCAGCATCATCATTATCATAATTATTTATTCCCTTATCACAAGTTTTTCCTTTTCCTGGTACTTCTCTTCTTGAAACAGTGGCGAACCTCACCACTCAGGCTTCAAGTTTCAGATTGTAGCTTTTTCTTATTATGTGTGATATTCCTAGTGTGGGTGTGTTATTTGTGTTGAATCTGTCGAGTGCTTTCCCGGTATTGTTTCCAGATATTTTTTAGTCTCTTGTTGCCATTGATTTCTGGTATGACGAGGCATTTCATGTTTCACATCTACTGAACTTTTATACTTAGATTTTTGTATTTTAATTTCTTGCCTGTCTCCTTGTATATTACATTCCCATTTTATAGTATTGCTACCTTATCAGTAAGAAATTCTTATCTTTCTTGTTTTTATTTATTATTTCCGAACTATTCGCTAGAACATTTCATCGCGAATCACCCCGATGATAGCAGTGACAATGATCTCTTAAACACTAGTAGACTTCTACCAGACTACACAGCGCTACAACCCAGAAGACGGCCATCTTCTTGATCTTAGTATTTTTAGTAACAGTATTACTGTAAGTATTAATAATAGTAGCACAGTTTAAGAATAAGAAACAGCAACATTGATGCTGTTACCATTTTTCATAAGAGCACAGTCATTATTTTTATCTTATTACTCTTAATTAAGTCATCATATGAATGTAAATATAATTAAGGTGTTTTCAATACAGGTCCTTTTCCGCACTGTTGCTATGATGGTACCAGACTTTGCTCTCATTGCGGAGGTTTCGTTGTATTCATATGGTTTTATGGAGGCTAGAAGCTTATCTGTGAAAATTGTAACTGTGTATCGCCTCTGCTCAGAACAGCTGTCATCTCAAGACCACTACGATTATGGTATGTGTAGTGTATGAACCAAAGCCGAAGATCTGAATCAGTAAAATACAGACTGAAGAGCAGTAATGGGTTATGTTGAACCTTCAGGTTCTGTTCTCAGAGACCTGGTTTGCTTTTAAATTAGTGCTGCCAGGGCATGACGCTGATCACTCACTCCCTATCTAGTACCGAGGTTAAGAATGAGTAGGAGCTGTACCTACTCTCCCCCTAAGCACCTACATGGCGTGCAGCGGGACAGCTTTACTTTTAATTTGCTTTTTACGAGCGGTGATAACAAATGACTGATGAGGAAAGTCGTGAGTTAGACGCTGAGGTGCCGAGATCTGGTGGCTAAGTGGGAACTATTGAACAAAGTGGATTTAATATCTAAAATGCACATTGCAAAGAATACATTAGGATATTATGTGTAGTTCGGTACGGAATACACTTTCTGAGATTATTTTATTTTACTTCTCTTAACTTCCAGGAATGAGAGCAGTAAAGACTGTGTTAACAACTGCTAGGAACTTGAAGTTGAAGTTCCCAGATGAGAAAGAAGAAATGTTGGTCCTTAGGTCAATTATTGATGTTAATCATCCCAAGTTTCTTCCTTGTGATGTTCCTCTGTTTGAGGGAATCGTATCTGACTTGTTTCCTGGTGTTGTCCTCCCTCAGCACAGTCATAATATATTTCTTAATGCTGCGAGAGAGGTGAGTCAGTTCCCAGATTAATTTGACATTTTCTTAATTATAACAATGCTCATAAAATTTACCACTCAGGTCAGCCTGACAGATATGATGTTGGGGAAGAACCACCAATTCATTGCTCAGTAAAATGATGTAACCTAACCTAACTTGAATCTTTACTGCACGAACAGTACCCAATAAATATACGGGTTATTTCATAACCAGTCTGTCATATATAATGTGAGGATGTTTCAGGAAGTAATTTTGAGTAGAAAATTTTCATACAGCATTAGTCCTATTTCTAACTGTTGCAGGAAGAGGAATGAGGACAAATGGAAGGTTCCTCTTATTATTAATTGCTATTCTTGTTTGAAGGATTTATGTGATGTAAATAAATTATTCTATTTTATGTTTAAAGGGATAATGTTAAATAGTTTGGTGTGTAAGAATGTGTTTATATACTTCAAAAGATTATACCTTTTTAATCTTGTTTAAAGTGGAACCTTCAGTTCATATTTGAAAGTAACAAGGAGGCTGAGACAGGATGAACTTTAGAGCTGTCATTTATGTAATCTGCTAATGGGATGTCGTTCTTCTGATAACAGGAGCCTGACAGGCTGTCTTTTTCAAGTCTGGCTAAATTTCAGTATTGAGAATAAAATCAGGTGATGTAACATGTTTTTTCAGGATCTTTTTTTTGATGTAAAATTGCAGAAAACATTCTTTCCTTTTGTTTTACTTTTAGAAAATAAAGTACTTTACTTAACAACATGAAATTAAAATAGATCATTAACATTATCAAATATGAGTAGAAAAATAATAAAATTTATGTAATTATTTTGGATAGTATTAACAACATTTGAAGAGTTGGTTAGGTTAGGTTAGGTTAGCATCTTTTCTCTTTGTTGCTCAGAATCGCAGGGAAGCGCAACCTCCACCATGTATTGAGTTCATTGAATGTGCCTTCTGTACTTTCTTTCATGAGGGCAAAGTTTTATATGCTTTTTAGGCTGAGAACTAATAGCACAGCTCACAAAAACACAGTATCTAACATTTTGACTTCACTTCAAACATTCTTGCAAGCAAATATTCATGCGTACAAAATTTTCTACAGTGCAGTCAGATCATTTATAACATCTGATTCATTACAAAGTTTTGATACAAAGTGATGGAAGTATCGTGAAAGACTGTTTTCATAACACGTGTCCATTTTGAATATACCTTTATTGAGTACATGGCAACAGGGCACATAGAACTACAGAGATGCAGCATAGGGAGAAGTGCTACATTGTTTATTCCTGTTGAATCAGTTGTTTTATTATGTGATTATTATGCATGCTGTGTTCTATAAGAACATACATATAACAGAATAGACTGTGCTGGTTGTTGTTATGATTCATAAAGTAGAAAAGTGACCAGCACTTCAATTCAGGGCAGGTCTTGAACGAGAACTTCATGCTTCTGATTAATTCTGTCATAGGTTTGCAAGTCAAAGGTTTTACAACCTGTTGATGCATTTCTGCAGAAAGTTGTCCAAACCTACGAGATGATGACCATACGTCATGGATTTATGTTGGTAGGGGAACCATTTGGAGGAAAGACCTGTGCACTGAAGGTAAGATTGTAATGCGATTATCATGTTAAAGGAATTGAATTTTATTTTTCCAGTCATATCCCCTTTCTATAGGCCAGGTCATTCAAAACAGTAGCAAGGGAAATAGTAATATGTAAGTTAAATTTATTAGGAGTATAGGTAGTCAGATGGGACAAGAGTGGCACTGAAAGAGCACATGATTATGCATTTTTGTATGGGAAATTTGATTTCTCACATCAAGGAAAGAACACAGGCTGATGGTAATTGTAGGTTTCTGATGAGAATATTTCAATGGTTGAGGTGACGAGCGTGGAGAAGTCTGAATAATCTATAATTTGTGCTGTTCACCGGTTATTATTAGGGTGATATGGGGAGGGAACGTAGCATGCGAGGGAGAGATGAGAAATAAGTATAACATTTTGGTTGGGAGGCCTGAAATAAAGAATCATCTTTCAAGTCCTAGGTATAGATGAGACAATGATATTAAAGTGGATCTTGTAGAAGTAGGTGGGACATTTTGGTCTAGATTCATCTGGCTGTGTGTAAGGACCAGTGGTAGTCTCCTCTGAATACAGTAATGAAGCTTCGCATTCCATGTAAGATAAAGACTTTCATGACTAGCTGTGTGAATATTAGTTTAAGAAGGACTCTGCTCCATTTAGTTAGATAGTTAGTTGCCTGTTTTCAGAGCAGGCCTTATTAGTTTTCACATTTCAGTATATTAAATTTTTCAGAGATGTTTACATTCCGAGTTCCATTTTCAGTTTATGGCTTCAATCATTAACCTGAAGTCAGTCATATTTTTCACCTGGTTAGGATATTTTACACATTTTCTGTAACACTAAACAAATCCTCTTTTAACTTATTTGTGAGTTTACTTAATGACATTATAGTATGAAGTGCACATTAGTGATAGGATCTCAATATTATCACATTTTTTTGCATAAAATTATACACAAAATACATGTGAAAGACCCAGGCTAGAGGACACTGTATGTACTTGGTCACGTGTGGGTCATAACGAGATACCAGTAAAGCTGGAAGATGGTTGTCTCGGCCGTGATGTTTATACTTCTGTCTGATAAGCGCTGTGACTGCGTGTATTAATTGTCATCCAGTTCTAATGCACAATTTCTTAACAGTTCAGGGAATGTAAGCAGAAATGAATTAATCATGTCTAGGAGCAGGATGCTTTCTTACTGATTTATCTCAATCTGTAGGAGAGAAAAGAGAGTTCAATACTAGTTCATGCACTGCATAATTCTTAATTGTATATAGTATAAATAACGATAGTTTAGGGTGAAGTTTTCCCACCTCCTTAATTTGCTTTTCATAAGGTCATGCTGTTGCGCTCTTCAAGAATATTTGCTGTGCACCATTATTTAATTATCTTCTTTAATCTTATCTTGGTCATGAACAGTGTCAGTACCAAAATAAGTGGAATTGTGAGAGCTAGGCTATCCATGCTGACAACCACTGCTGGTTGCTCATTCAACCAGCAAGCTGTTGGCTGGCGAGGCATTGCCAGTTGTTGCAATGAGTTGACGTAGGAGTTGCAAAGCTGCAGAGTGTGTACTTATGCACACGTGCATGTGCTCTTACACGCTCTGACAGTATCATAAGAGACACGTAATGAAAAAATAAATTTATGGCATCTAAATATTTTGAAGTATGTCAAAATTTTGGGATATTGTTTTTACAGAAATGACATTTCAAACAAAAACATAATGTAATTTTGTTTTTCTCACTGTCCTACTGTTATATAACAATTTGCATAAAATATGACTTTTTTTTAAGAGCGAAACTTTGCTGTACTCCTTAAAATATACAGAATTCAGCTTGTATTTGAAGGGAAATTTACAAATTTGAAGCCTGGGTAACCTGCTTTTATGTAAACTAATTAATCCAATAGAGGAAGATACTGATTTCTTGACTTATGAACATCAATACATAAAAATTAATTTATTATCTTGCTTAATATTTTAATAATATGTTCTTATGAATTGGTCATTCCTCTCTTTAACAGCAGAGAAGTCTCCCACCATTTCATTGCTTCCCTCTTGCAGTTAATCCTGTTTCTCCTTTCGTAGCAAGAAAAGACAGTGCCACCTTTTAAGCAAATAATAAACAATTGAATCCCTCTTCAAATTGTTTTGCTTCTTTAATGATATTAAACAGTATTGCTTTCAAATTTTATTCATTCCAAATACATTGTATTTCAACTTAATTATGGCTTAAATAAGTCTCTTGCATTCTGTCTTGGAACCCACAAGATTTTGTCTATGGGAAATCGCTTTCTAAACAGAAGGCTTATGAACAAACTACAATCTGCTTGTAAGTAGCAGACGTTGAAAGAATCTTGTTCATAATTTTTCTTCGAAGCAATTTTTGTCATATATTTGTACTTTCAGGTTTTGGCGGACACCTTGCGTGTCATGGAAGAGCAAGGACATAATGAAAACAAAGTTAAGATCAGATTCATTAACCCCAGAGCTGTTACAGTCAGCCAGTTATATGGGTGGTTCGACCCATTATCAAATGAATGGACTGATGGAATTGTTGCTACAACATTCAGGTATTGCTTGTGCTTTTACTAATTTCCCTGATGCTGCTGTTTTGCATTATATTACAATATTGATTCCTTATTTAAAGGCAGTTTCATGGATTTCTATAATCTCAATTTTTCTTGTACAATAGATATTTTAATTTTTAATTTTTGTGTACCAGTAAATACATTTCTGTTGCAAATTTCAGGAAATATTCAACTGATGAATCTCCTGACAGAAAGTGGTTGATCTTTGATGGGCCTGTGGATCCGGTTTGGGTAGAAAACATGAACACAGTCTTGGATGACAACAAGAAGCTTTGCCTTAATTGTGGAGAAGTTATTGTACAAACTGTGCAAATGTCAATGATATTCGAAGTAATGGATCTGTCTCATGTAAGACTCAGTCTCGTCATTTTTACCCCACAATTTTTAGTTCAATAGGTGCAGTGTTCCTCCAGAACATGGTAACCGCCTATAAGACTTGGCATCACACCACAGAGAACCAGCATTGGCAAGATTATTCACGGTTGTGCTTATCTCTGCTTCATTATGTTTGGTACACTTTGTTATGTGCTCTTACTGGAAGTATCATTAGTTAATAGTTAATTATGTTAAAATAGAGTTTTAGATGTAAAGCATGTTTAAATAAAAGGTTTTTGAAATTAAAATCCTTTAGTTTACTAGGTTGTTGACTGATCAGTTTATGGTTTAGTTTTTGTATGTTCACTAGGCGTCACCAGCAACCGTTTCGCGTTGTGGTATGATCTACATGGAGCCATCAGCTTTAGGCTGGAAGCCGTTGGCTCTCTCCTGGATTCAGCAAGGAAATCTTGAATGGGTAAAAGGAAATGAACAATTTATGGAAGCCTTCCTTGACTGGCTTGTTCCACCTTGTCTGCTGTTTGTAAAGAAACATGGAGTCCAATTGATTACTGGTGGAGTTACAAATCTAGTGGTGTAAGATACTAATTATTGACCAGATACTGATTTGAGATCTTATATTTTTTTCTATTGCCATGTCTGCCTTCTGCCTTCAAAATATAATTGCCACAAATTGAGATCATGCGCGAGATTTAAACAGTGACTAGCTAGAAGAAATAACTCGGTTTCCTGGAGTTTAGTACAGATATATCTTCTGTAAAAAGAAGTCTGTATCTCGGAAGTGGCCAGTTCATTTGGTTCTTCTTCACACTGTAGTATGAGCAAAGAACCTTATGGGCCCATTCATGCCTTTTGTCTGTCATGGTTCTCCTAGGAACTAGGCAACCCACATTATTACCTAATGTAATTCGAAAACACTGTTGCAAAAATTGGAATTGAGTTCACAGCAATGTCGTCAAATCACAACACTTATCTTGATACCATTGTTGTATTTGTTATTCCTTCTGGGTAAGAGAGACATGAGATTGCAATTTCTTTCAGCCGAAATTTTTGTTGAACGACCTGCTGACGTCACCATTTGTGATGTGGCGGTGAGAATGTGTCTGAAGTTTCAGTGAACTCCAAAAATACACCTTTATAATCTCATTTAAGGACAGTACAATGCCTGTTATATGGCAAGTGAGCAATGACCTTGAGACAAGATGTGTTCTGGTTCCAGGGTTAATCTCCTGTAACCTATGGTAGCCAGTAATTGTAATGTCATTACATTTTAACACGTAGACACATCACTACTACAGTTATTTCTGTAGTTGAAATGTTTAATGTGTCCCTAATATAATAGCCTGTGTCCGTCACACTTAACTGTACAAGTATACCATTTGTGCAATGCAGAAAAAGTGAATTTCAGTTCTGATGGTGGTGACTTTGGTAGCAACAAATGCAAACAAGGCCATGGTGTGGTCTGGCAGAGTCTGCGTTTTGCAGCAGTCTGATGTCAGGCGGTTGGTTTAGTGTTGGTATTGTGTGGCAGATGCCATGAAGGTGTTTTTGTATTTTAATTTAGACTTCAAATAAATGTTATAAATGTTTTACATTCAGTACAGTTTGCAAAACTAATTCTGCAGTAAATGCTGTCTGTTAACTTTGATGGGTCATACTACACTAATTAAATTTATGTTTCCGTATTCGATTTCTTGGTCTCTCTACATTTTTCTTTTCGTTTCTTTTTGGTTTTTTACGCATCCTTGCTTGCAATAATGAGCTTAAATTTTAATATCATAGTGACTTCTCAGCAAGGTCATGTGAACTAGAAACATTGCTTAAGTATATTGTTTAATTTAATACCTGAAAGGTAAACATAATTCATTGTAGAAATTCTTATAAAATTTAATTTCATATGTACACTTATTTTGTATGTTTTAACTATTACAGGTCTACTATGATATTAGTGAAAATGTTGCTGGAAGAAGCCGTACGTGCAAATGAAGATAAAAAATATCTTCGCATCTGGATTCAAGCAGCGTTTGTATTTGCTGGTGTATGGGGCATTGGAGGGAACCTGGATACTGACAGTCAGATTCAGTATGATGAATTCTATAAGACTTTATGGAAAGGTGAGTGGGAATGTTTTGTCACATGGAATGTGTCAGTTTCTTCATTGTGATTTTTTCAAACTTGGGACACAGTTTCTTTTCCACATTGAGATGAAAACATTGATCCTGTAGTTCATAATCTATTAAAATAATATCCCATTTATCCAAATACCATCCATATCATTTTTTATGAAAATGTGTGTTACAAAAATGGATATATGTCTGATTCAAGGATTTCATATGGATACCACAAGATACTGCAGAAGAACCTGTCAGAACAGCAAGTAAAATGTCATTTGTAACGTGAAGTAAATATTGAACATAAAAGAGGGAAATTACATAATGAAGAGCTTCATAGTGGTACTTCTCGTAATATATTATTATTCAATTCTGAAGGGTTCTGACGATGGTGGATTACACTTAAAATTATTCACTATCTGGACTTTTTTCCATCGTCCTTGTTTAAAAGACGAAGAAATCGTGACGTTTTGGAAACTAGCTCTATCTAATTGACCCAACTGAGTAGGTACCTCTTTCCTGAAGACGGAACGTCGTGGTTCTTCGTCTTTTAAACATGGGCAATTGAAAAAGTCCAGATAGTGAATAATTTTAAATATATTATTATGACGATCAAATCAAGGAAGATGAGATGGTGAAGTATATTTTGATTAGATTATGTTAGATCAGATAGCTTCATTAGATGAGTGACTTTCAACTTCTCAATAAGGACTGTACTCCATGGAGTGATTTACATAGTTTAGATGAAATTCAGTGTTACCATGGGTTAAATGCATGTATTTAGTGATAATTTGAGTTACTTTTAATATGGTGAAGTGCATGTTTGAAGATGTGATCTGAAGTGTTGGTGATGGGAGGGATTACACAGCTTGGCTGGGAAATGTCAGCACATCCTTCACACAGCCCAAGATATTTTCCCATGCCGCGTGACAGGACATTTGGACACCATGACAGAGTCGGAACAGAAATATGTGAGCAGTGAAGACAATTTCATTCAACCAGTTTAAGGCTGCTTTTGGGGCAGTAGAACGTGTCAGGTTATGTTGCGCTGTAGACAAAGTCTTACTGATATGCGGTGTGCAGTGTCTGATTATCTGTTTAACTCTTCACATATTGAAGGACCCCCATATAATATATATTGTTAAAAATATTTTCAGGTCTTAATCCAGACTACCCTATTCCAGAAAGTCTTGAGAAGGTGGATATTTCAATACCTGGGGAGGGCACCCTTTATGATTACACGTATAATTTTAAACAGAAAGGAAGCTGGAAGTATTGGCCAGAAATACTGAAGACTGTGACTGCTGTGGAGAAAATTAACATCTATCAGATGCTAATTCCAACTGTTGAATCAATGAGGTGAATTTGAGCACTGTGTGGGATACTTTATAAACTAAATGTGTCTGGGAAAATTTAATTGAACTTTGTACTGCTTTGTGGGTTTGCTTCTTTAAGAAATCTGAGATACTACATTACAGCTTGCCCTTGTATGTTATTAAATTATCTACTGCCTGACTCGGGCATTACTTCTTTGTACAAGGAAGTACCCTAGAGCTGTGAGAAGTGAATGTATGTATGAACAGACAGCGTTTTGCATTTATTAGCCATGAATTACATGTGTACTTGTTTTCATATGGTCCAGGTGGCTGTGGCACTAGAGTTCTGTAAAACTTTTGAACTATTTTATCTTTCTTACTAAGAAATCACTAAATGTTAGAGAATTTATTGTTCTTTTTTCCTTTTCTCTTTAGATATCAGTATCTGATGGAACTGCACATTCGTCATAATCATTCTATGCTGATGGTTGGTAACACAGGGACAGGGAAGAGTTTCTGTGTGCAGAACATGTTGATGCATCAGTTACCAGAGCAAAAATACATTCCAGCACTTATCACATTTACTGCACACACTACGGCAAATCAAACACAGGTGTGGAGTTATTATTAATTTCACTAAGAATGCTCCAGTTCCACATCTTCTTGTTTCTTTAAAAGTCAGTGTACAGAGAGTTTTCGTAGTGAAGTGAACCATTGCTTTACAGAGCCATTTTTTTTAGTCTTTCCAGTACTTTGCGTAATTACTGCTTGTATTTTTAGGAGCTTGTCCTCTCGAAGTTACATAAACGCAGGAAAGGTTTGTATGGACCCCCAGTGAACACTAAATGTGTTATATTTGTGGACGACCTGAACATGCCGGTAAAGGATAAATATGGAGCACAGCCGGCGGTTGAGCTGCTTAGACAGTTCTTTGATCATGGCCACTGGTAAGTATGTGCAGTGGTTTTGCATCCAGAATCCCAGGGTGTTGCACCGTTAAATGCTGTAACCACACAAGTCTTTCCTCATCCACTGGAAGCAACTCTTGCGCCACCAACACACAGAAGGGTACTGTTTTGCTTTCTTGACAGCTTTTGGGAAAGACTAGACAGTGATTTGGAAGGTTAAGTCAGAATTATTGGATGTATTTTCTTTGACAATGTTATGAATGAAGGTTTACCTCGCTGTTTTTCAGTACATTTGTAAACCAGATGACTGATAAGTGTCAGACTGCCAAGTAATTTTACCAAGATGTTGCACATCAAATTCTGTCTATCCTTTGTGCCCTGTACTATATTATCAGACACCTTCTTGCCTCTTGCATGTCAATCCGCAAAGTTTGTCATCTCTCTCATTAGTTTATGAATACAACATTATGGTGGCGTTAGTCTATCCCGTACTGGTTTTGAAATTTCCTGTATGACTCCTTGAATGACACTGTTCACTAGTGTATGTGACCAAGAAAGAGACAGTCGTTGATCGAGTGTATCTTTCCATCAACAGAATGAAATGCAGACTGGCTATCACACAGCACGCGATAAAACATTCCAAGAATGAGTAGAGCAGTCCACTAGAACTCTAAGCATGATGGGTCGCAGTTCTTTAAGAACTGCGGTTTGTACGCACAGTATTTGATTGCTGTTATTATATAGGTTTTGTTGCTGAAGGTCTATGACCTCTAGTAAGGGATCATTTTGTAATTTTTCTCCTCTTGCACTGTGTAAAATTTGGCCATTTCCAGGAGCAAACTGCCTGAGTCTCCAGTGGATGTAGGTGTTTAACATGTTACATGTATCATCACACTGGGTATGAGAACAATTTTACCCCCTTTAGAAATGTAGTCATAGGATATTCTTTTTATGTATCCACAAAGTCCATGTAGGAGGTGCATGAATAACCCCAAACTGATCCATATGAACTAGGATTCAATTTCATCACACCGCATTCGGAAAACAGTGAAACTCAAAGCATGTTATTATAGTTATTATATTTACTAAAGATAAATAAATACATATTTTCTTGTAGGTATGACTTAAAAGATGCAAGTAAGGTGCACCTGTATGATCTAATGGTGCTGGCTGCAATGGGACTTCCCGGCGGCAGTCGGCAAGATGTTTGCCAGCGTTTCTTGCGTCACTTCAGTATTTACGCCATCAACGAATTCACAGCAGAGAGCATGACTAAAATATTTACGAATGTTCTCAGCACTGGTCTCAGAGTATGTCACTTCAGTGAAATGTATGAAATATTTTAATTAAAATAAGTGATAGAACATGTAAATAGGATGGGTAGACAAGGAGTATACACAGAATTTTGGTGTGGAAATCCCTTGGAAAATAACCACTTTGAAGACCAAGAAGGAGAGGGAGGATACTATTAAAGTGTGTGTTAGGGAAATGTGAGGTAACACAGTTATTTCCAGAAATGCAGCCCTGGCAAACTAGAATCCATCTGTAAATAATTTCAACTTACACTGCAAAGTAAATTAAGTGGCAGAGTTATAGCAGCCTGCATGTGACTGAGTGATCACTTACTCGCTTTAACTCTTCTTACAGAGAAATGGATTTACAACAGATGTTGCATCTTCCGTATCATGCATGGTAAATGCCACACTGGATATGTACAAAGCGGCAATTCATAGTCTGCTCCCGACTCCAGCAAAGTCCCACTATCTCTTCAACTTGAGAGACTTTTCCAGAGTGATACAAGGATGTGCTCTTCTTAGGAAGGAAAGTGCTGACAGCAAGAAAGTGTTTGTCAAGTAAGTTTTCCAACATTATTTTGAATCACTGATAACTTTATCTGTACTTTTGTCATGCTCTTCAGAAAAATAAATTATACATTTTAGAATTTCTCTATAAGGTGTCCAATATAAGACACGCACGCACACGTATACACCAGTATGCATAAATACACGTGTGTGCGCACACATACAAAATGAACCAGTACAAACTGTGTCACAACGTACTTGCATCTGTCTTCGGCTGAAAATGACCCATGTGTCATGAACTCTGACAAGCCTCTGTTGTCATCATCATCACAGTTGTTGCTTTGTTGGCAACTTGATAAAATTTTCACATATATGTAACTTATCAAAACTACGTTCACTCCCGGATGTGTCGCTACGTACACTATCGTGCACTAGTTTACATAGTCCTCCACATACATTGTTTTACTACGCCCCCAACGCAATATTTGGTAGCAACGGCTCAAACTCAAGAGTGCTTTCAGTCACAGTCAGTACCTCATCTCAGAAACAGTGGGTTTAAGAAACACACTGTCATTGTCCTGTAATTTTCATTATTATCACAGTCTTTAGCACACTAATCAACATACGAGATACTCTTAAAACACTTACCTCTCTGAGTGTTTATACACTTTCAGATTTTTATCGTAGGAGTCAACACTGTTATGACATTTGTTCCTTTGTTCAATTTGAGATTCTCACCTCGGTGAGTATGAACCCGGCTGTCGTCTGGACTCTAGCACAATCTGGCAAGGACCCCTTATACATCTGTAAAATTCTACCAGACTGCAACCCAGAAGACATCCATCTTCACCTTCATCCCTTGTTCTGATCCATCGTCATTAACGCAATTTCAGAGGGCCGGTTGTAATATCTCCTGTTCTCCGTTTACAGACTCTGGGTCCATGAGGTGTTACGAGTGTTCTATGACCGCCTAACAGATGAGAGAGATAGGCAATGGTTTTATAGAAAACTGTGTGACTGTGTTCAAGAAAACTTCAAGGATAACTTTGATATATTATTAGAGACACTTCCCATGGAGAGTGGTGTGGTAAGTTAGCTACGGCATGCATGTAAGTAACGTTCTCATTTGAGGCGTAGAGTATGGGTTGAAATCCTTCCAAGTCAAAAAGACTACTGCCATTTTCCATTATGAATGCAGAACAGGACAGTGGATTTGTTCAGCAATGTTTGCTGTTTGAGCAGCGTACATTGACAGGATCAGACTTACATTTTTCTCCTGCTGTAAAATGAAGTTGAGTATAGTGAAAGGAAAGAGATCTCAACGATAATAGTTGTTTGTTTTGCTAACAGTTAACAGTGTAAGTAAGGGCACAGGAAATTCATAGACCATAATATTTTTTCTGTTGATTCTTGTACTTCAGGTAACTGAGGAGTCACTCAGATTTTTAATGTTTGGAAACTTCATGAATATGGATTCTACAGAAGACAACAAGAATAAATATGAAGAAATACCAAGCCTTGAAGCTTTCGTAACTGTTGCAGAGGCAGCTATGGTAGAATATAATTCAACCCATAAGGAAAAAATGGATGTTGTTCTGTTTAGGTAGTGGTAAAAGGCTTTTTGATTAATTTAAGTCAGTTTTTCTTTGGTTTTTCTTGCCAATTAAAATACCAGCTGAGTACTACTTACCATCACACAAGGATACTACACTGTCTCGTACAGATTCAGGATATAGTTCATCTATCAGATCTTATCCAGGAAGCAGCTGCCGCGTATATTACTTCTTGAGCAGTGATGCGGCGGTATTACCTTGAGATATATTATGACTGCTTCCTCCTGAAATTAATGATTCATGAACATTTTCATAATTCATTTGGTGCCATATAACCCCATATCACGTTAACATTAAACAACTTAAGAACTTAGTTCCAGAATTAATATTTAGATAACGCCTGTTATTCTTCTCATCTTTTGATCTAACGAACTGGAAATTGAGTCTGGCAGTCAGGTAGTTTTTCTCAAAATTTTTACTGACATAGAGCACATTTGGTGGTCAAAATATTTTCATGTAACTCTCAAACAACCTCATTTTTTTAAAAAAAATGTTTTTTTGAGCATAACACTACATACAAAATGTTCTCTCATGTTTCATTAAAGTTTGTATCATTCTTACGTAATGTAGTTTTCATATCATCAGTCGGTGCAGCTCTGCACTGTCCCCAGTAGATATCTGCATGTGTGTGTGTGTTACAGATATGCACTGGAACACCTCTCCCGCATTTGTCGCATTCTCACCATGCCGTGCGGTTCTGGCCTGCTTGTTGGAGTTGGTGGCTCAGGACGGCAGTCCCTTACGAAACTTGCTTCAGCTATTCAAGGAAACACTTTTTTCCAGCCAGAAGTATCCAGAAACTATTGTATGTATATAGTTGTAATAAAAATATTACGATAAATGTTATACCGTCTTTTAATTTCTGAAATTGTATTATCTTTATTGCTGATAGTTTACAGTACAGTGATGTATAAATTATGAATACTTGGACATTGAACATATCCACAACGTGTTAATCCTGTATTAGTAACATCATGCGTCTATCTGTAGAATTTTATATCGATACGTTATTAAAATAAAGTTGTGCTGTAAGTAGCATTACTGTGCAGAGTAATGTACGTCTCACATTTAATATTCAGATTTGTGCTAGGGCATGCATATTTATGTGTGCTTTTCATTGCTGTCAATCTTTTGACCATCGTCTGATCCCGACAGTTTGTATGTCTGCTACATTTGGGTGCCTATGGTTGCAAAATGCTTTTTATATGTCATTCTCAGAACTCGGATAACCACAGGAAATCCAGGACAGTTTTTGAGAGATCTCACTGTCCTTGCATGTCTCTGAAGTGCTTTTCTACTTCCAAAGTTTGAGGGAACTGAGCAATAAATTACATTGTATTTTTAATGAAAAATAATTTTTCTTTGAGTTGTAACCACCCTGTATTTATTATGCCCACTGATGGTCAAAAGGTGATTTTTACTTTTGTTTGTTAATTTACATTATACACTAATTGTGTACATGGTGTCGCAAGAGCATACTTGAGCTGTGATCAGAAAGGAAACCATCAGTACAGTGGCTCACCACGACACTGAAAGTTCTGGCGTGCATCCACTATCATAATTATGGTTGATGTCTTAACCCTAGAACACTAGATGGGAAAAGATACAAGCGAGTCTTAATTTGGATCCTCCTTGCTGAGTTCTGAAAGCAGAGAAGAGGAATTTGGAAAGTTTGTTTGCAGAAAAAATAGTACCTCTCGTCAGTAGCCTGTTCACGGACCCAGTCCTGAGCCACTTCAATCCATTCCATGTTCTTACAGGTGTTAATGAGTGGAGGGATGATCTGAAGACAGTACTCAAGCTGGCTGGTGGCCATGGGAAGGAAACAACTTTCTTGTTCACTGATGGTCAGATCGAGGAAGAAGTGTTCTTGCAAGACATAGATTCACTGCTGAATTCTGGTGAAGTGCCAAATTTATATGCTGTAGAGGAGCAGCAAGAGATTTTGGAAGTAAGTTGGCGTAATGTACAGCTGCACTGCGAGCTTGTTGCTTAGATGCTGAGATGTGACAGGATGAGTTGAGTGAGTGTTGTCTCCACAGTACCTTGAGCGTAGTCTGCTAGTTGTGCTGTGTGTGTTGTCTGTGACTTGTATTGCTTGAGAACACGGTGAAAACTGCAGGAAATTCCTGAACTGCTTCACTCTAAATGTCTTTGGAAAGAAGATAACTGAAAATTTATCCAGTTCTTAATGTTTTATTTGTATTGTCAGGAGATGAGGGATATCTAATCTATCTTATTTATCGATGTTATTCTCAGTAATTAACTTGGATAAGAAGAAACCAGTTTTCACTAACCACTTATGTTGTGCTTAATGAAATATGAATGCTCTTTTGGAATATGTGCGGCATGGCAGAACCTACGTATCATCTCGGAAGAGGTCAAAGTGTTGCAGCATTATTCAACTTAATGTTTTATGAAGTTTTTTTTCACCTTTGTGAGTCGTTGTCTAGCCTTTTGGCATTTCCATCATCAAATTACTTGCTCTTCAATAATTTTGCAATTTTGTTAAAAGTCTCTTTATTGTGATTCTTTGGTTTCTTAGTTTGCTGGACTTTGGTCAGTATTTTAATTGTCATATGCGCTAACATCTACATATGAATTATAATGTTTATGGAGAATGTTTCTCTTTCACGTCCCACGGATATATGCTGACCTGATCAGCTTATAACCTGGGACTTTCACTTTTGCCAAGTCTGGAGATAGGGATTAGATCTATCGATTGGGCCCAGCTGAGTAGGTCTACCTGAAGACATAGAGAGAGTCCCATCTCCGAAACGTCGTGTGATTTTATGATTTTATTTATTAGACGATGGAAAATATCCAGAAAACTCTTTACTTCTACATATTGTATGTCATCTGTAGGCTCACTTCATTATGTTCAGAGTCTTGTGTCGTGTTGGGGCGATATGCATCATGTTAAGTTGTGTTGGGTTTCGTTTGATCAGGTTAGGTAAGGATAAGTTAGTACATCTTCGGTTGATGTGTGCTTTCAACGACCTGCATTAAGTGAATGCATGTGTAGTTGATCATGTCTGTTCTTTTTTCTCAGACTTCAGAATTTGCAGTGAACTGGTATGTGTATTCTAGTATGGATTACACCTTTCCAGTCTTATAGTAATAAAAGTTGTCAGTGAATCCCAGCATTTAGAAAATAGCACTTCTTTTCTTTCAGCTTGTGAGGCTAGCTGCTCAAGGAGGCGACAGAAATTTGGACATCAGTGCACTAGCAGTTTTCTCTTTCTTTATCAGCCGTTGCAAACAAAAGTTGCACATCGTGTTGTGCTTCAGTCCTATCGGTGCATCATTTCGCAGTCGGTTACGGCTGTATCCATCGTTCATTAACTGCTGTACCATTGATTGGTTTTTGGTAAGTACTAGTTTAATTTTATGGTAGTAACATTTTAACAATCATAGAAATACTGTTAAATATTAAATGTTATCATATCAAAACGTCCTTTAACAGACTAACATGTAATGTGAAGGGCTGGGTTGTAAGATTTTGAAGTTAAGTAGAAATATGGAGGAAGAACATTGCCCTCCACTAGTCTTGGTTAGTGTCATGGAACAATCTCTGTTCAGTACTTTGATGGTCTAGTTGGTGTAGTTGCTTCAGTTGAATCTGATTTGTTAAAAGGCAAACTGTAATTATTTTATTTCCTTTATGTTCTGTTGCTATTTTTTATTAACAAATAAATTGCGAATAATGTTTAACAATGTTGAACATGTGAGATTTGAGGTTATGGTGGTGACTGTGTTGATGATCTCTTGGGTTCTAGCACCATGTGGACTGGCTAGTAGATGCCAACATTTCAGACAATCATACTCATTTAGCATAGTGCAGTCTTGACTGACGTTTCAGGAAATCTTACTGTCTCCACCCTCACGATTTAGACAGTAATCTCCTTTGAAACTTAGTGAGTAACTGCATGGTGCGTCATTCCAGAGAACAGCCATATTTATAGTTTATTCCATGATAACCTCAGATC